ATTATGCTAATTTAGCTCATTCAAAGTAATGGTAAAGGGTGTTTTTTTTTCACCTATAATTAGTTTAAAAAATAAAAATAAAAAATTGGCCTCAAAACATATCACCATTTTAATTAGATTTTAGTTAAGAAATTTTGAGTCTTGATTGGTATTTTGAGCTTCCGTTGAATTTTTTAAATTCAATTAGGAATATAAAGTCATTGGATGGTTGTTAGTTGCAAACATGTTTTTTACGCATATCTTTCAATAATTTCCTCTATACTAGCTCCATCACACGTCTATTTATGATGTCTTTAAATAAGTTATTTTATTTGTTATATATGTACTTATGTAGTATATTATATCATAATTTTCGGCAATTAATATATAGATTCTATTATTAAAGAAGATCTTACATTATAGATTGAAATCGTTAACCACAAAATAAAAAAGTAAATTAAAACCTGCTATGCGGTAGACCATTCTCTTAATTGACACATTGTTTAATACCTCCACATTTTTTTTAATTCTACTCACTTGCATTATGTGCAGTCTCTCTCTCTCTCTCTCTCTCTATATATATATATATATATATATATATATATATATATATATATATAGAAATGGGATCATATGAGACCACATCTCTTATGTGAGAACCTTTTTATATGTGAGGACTCATTATAACCGTTGGATCAATTACATCCAATGACCACAATTAATCGGTCAAAAAAGAAAAACCCTCCAACGTTTAATTTCACATCCTTCGTAGTTTTTTCACTGTACCCCTCTCTCTCTTTCTCTACTCCATTGAATTATTCGTTGAAGCGGCTTGTGAGCTTTCCTCCTCCATTGAAGCAGCTTCTTTGGTAAGATACTTTTTTTAAATATCAATTTCACATTCTAGGGTTTCATTAACTTAATTGTCAGTATGCTCAATTTAGGGTTCAAATTATTGAACAATTACATTGATAATTATGCCATATTTGATTTCTAAACAAAACCCTTTGATGTTTGGACGAAACTATGAAAATGGAATTTATTTCCCATAATCTAGTCTTAATTAATGTGAGGAAATGTTTAGAAGAGTGTTTTTTCGAGCAATTTAGGTTCTGTTCCTATGAACTTACAAAGTAATTTGGCTACAGATTGATATCACATCCAGAGCTCCGAGGAAGCAGTAGAAAATGGTGAATTTCATTCATAATTCAATACTTTTGTACTAACATATATTGCTGAATGAATTTAATCGAGCTCCATGCTTTTGTTTTTTGTGTTGGCAGCTATTCTTCTCGTATTTCAAGGAAATTGTGGGGCGTGAATTGGTTGTGGAACTGAAGAATGATCTCGCCATAAGGGGCACCTCCGTTCGGTTGATCAGTATCTTAATATCAAGCTCGAAAACACTAGGGTTGTTGACCAAGACAAGTATCCTGACATGGTATTCCCCTGCTCCCTACCATTTGATTGTTTCCACTTTTTTTTTTTGCACCCTTTCGTGTTTTGTATGATTGTATGGAGTTTGTCAAAAATTTATTCATTGACAAGGCGATGATTTCCAGAGTTTTTTCGCTTTCAATTATCTTCTACTGATTATTGTTTGCTTCAATTTGTTGAGTAATTGTTGCTTTTAATGATACTTCTATATTTTACTTGTGTGTTGGGAGTTTGGGACACTGCCGTGATTGTAATTCGTTTCCGGCTTAGGATTATACTGCTTATACTTCACTTGTGGAAATTGCTTGATTTTGCATGCTTTGTTGAGGTCAAAGTCTTGTGAAATTTAAAATATATAAATATATGGGGATCACCAATAGTACTAAAAATGGGAAGGGGCAAGGTTTTTGGACTATGTTGGTAATTAATGATTGGTTTAAAAAAATTTAGCATGATTTTGCTGCTAATCTTTCCTTCTCATTGTTCTCTACTGATTCACACCTCTTGTGAAAATTTTTTATATGCGGATTGAGTTTGTTGCATCCTTCAGGGCACTGGCACTAATTTTTAATTATCATTTGGTTGTGATTTATTTTCTAGTCATGTATTGTTGTAGTAGATTCGTCAGGGGCAAGTCCAGTAGCATTTGATAGCTGATACCAAATATTTCACTTAAAATTGCATTCAGGGGCACTTGCATCTGGAACCATCTTAGTACCACCATCTTAAAGTGTTGGCCCCATTCTAATTTTGATCTGCTTAAAATGTAAAAAAGGACTTTGAAATTTGTCCTAAGTTCTATTGGTTGCTTTTACTCCTCTAGTTATTGTGAAGTTTCTACTTAGACAGTCAGTTTGAGCCAAGTATTTTATGGGTGTGTGATCTATAGGCAGCCTAGTAAAATTTTGCTTTTGTTGCTACTTTCCTACTAATACTGCTTATTCTCAGGATGGCAAAGTTGGTGTTCATGGAGACGTGTCTGCTTGCACCACAAGCTTGTCAGTGAATTCATTTACAAAAAAAGTAAGCTTGGCCATATTCTAATTGTATTACTTTTATGACGTACCTTCTAATTGGATGAACTAACGAGAGATGGGCAAATCAAATTGTCTAAAACTGGAATTTTTTTGTCCAACCCTTATTCTCACATAATGTTCTTCTCAGTCAAATGCATGTATCAATGTAAGAAATGTACAATGTGGAGGTGGGGGAGGGTCCTTGTCCTGAACACATAGTTGACGACTAGTAATATAAATTTGACCTTGAATGGCTAAAAGTTTGCTAGTTTGTTTCCTTGAATAGATGAACTGTTTCTGTGTGATTTTTAGGTTCAACTTAAAGAGTACACATCTGACCACTTATGCTCTACATTTCTTAATCCTGGTGTATAGACCAAGTGGCTTCTGCTCCAGTTACTAATTATTTGCTTCAGTTTTATTAAAGTTGCAATTTAAGGGACATGTGTCTATTTAGTAATCTCAGGTCCTAATTAAATTCAATTGCAGGCCCTACCAGTGTGACTTCTCCCAGACTGCTGTTATCTCTAACCAGAATCCAAGTAAGTATCAAGGCTCCTCTACACATATTTCTATGTGCTAATTAATAATGACATGTTTTAAGTCCTGATTCAGAAAGGCCTAACCTGAAGATTCTCTATGATACGTAGATTGATCTAAGTCTTAGGCCTCATACTCTCATATTAACCGTCTTTTTTTTTCTAAACTGAAATATTAATGATTAAAACCGATTTAAGCCAGCTTAGTTTAGTTGTTAATCAAGACTAATTTTTGATCGATATACTAGTTTACTTGTCATACATTTGTAGCCAGCCTACCGATTAAAATTAATTTTTACTTGATAACTAAAAAATTTACAATTAACTCGAACAAGGCCTTAAACATGCTATCACATGTTAATTAATATTACGTTTTGCTCATCAAAGTGCGCTAAGTCATGCCTTTTAAATAGTTTGCTCATTTTTTAAATTAGCAACTATGTATTTGCTCATTTGACAAATGAGCAACTAATTTTTTGCTCATTTGTCAAGTGAGAAATTATTTTTTGCTCATTTGTCAAATGAGCAAAAAAATTTAATGCTCCTTTGTCAAATGAGCAAACTATTTAATGCTCATTTGTCAAATGAGAAATTAATTATTTGCTCATTTGACAAATGAGCAATTAATTTTTTGCTCATTTGTCAAATGAGCAATTAATTTTTTTGTTCATTTGTCAAATGAGCAATTAATTTTTTTGCTCATTTGTCAAATGAGCAATTACTTTTGCTCATTTGTCAAATGAGCGAAAAAATTCAATGCTCCTTTGTCAAATGAGCAAACTATTTAATGCTCATTTTTCAAATGAGCAAATGAGTCATGCTCATTTTGTCAAATTAATGCTCATTTGTGAGTGTGTTTGAATGTTTTAAATACGTTAGCCTACTAGCTCAAGGGTAGAGCATTGTGCAAATGCACAAAAGATGTGGGTTCGAATCCCACGTAGGTTCATTTATGTAATTTGGAGACATAAGTTTGTATGAGAGTTTAATTGTAACAAAGTTTATATAGTTATAAATCATTTCAAGTCATTTTTTTTGCTCATATAATTAGTACGAATTTGATTTTTTTTTAATTAATTTTGTTTATAAAGATAACCTATGTAGGAATTGAACCTACATCTCCTATGCATTTGCATAGTGCTCTACCAATTGAGCTAATAGGTTCACATATGACATGTTGCAAATTTAAAATCCAACTACATTGAAAATAGAAAATCTCAGGGTTTTAGCTTTAATACGCGCCTCTCTTCTTGCCAATTTCCTCTCCCTGCTAGCCTTGTTCTTGGCACGTTTAGCCTCAAATTGGCCAGACAAGGTCTTGTCTCTAGTCTTCTAAGCCTTAGTGTTATGGATGCTCTCCATAAATACTCTCTTGTTTTTGGACACATTACCTTTGACCTTCATGTACATGTCATGGTACATGTGCTTGTCAATCTTTGACTCTCGGTACTTACGAAGCAACCTCTTAAGAAATTTCATCCTCCTCATCCACAAAATCTTGGTTGGAAGCATAGCTTCCTTGGTACCCTTACGCTTACCTATAATAGACCAAAATTGACTTGTTGTTGCAGAGCAAGGAATTTGGTAGTCGCTTTAGACTTCCCTGTAACACCAAAATATATAGTTTGTAAGTCACCTCTTCCTCTCTTCACCTTCTTTGGCAAAGAAGGCTATAATAAATTAGTAAAATTTGGACATTACTACTCTACTTGTAATGCCTATTTGCTGAACCTCATTAACATCAATTTTTATCACCCAAGCCAGCATCATAGTTCCCTTATTGATAAAAATAAACAACTGTCAACTGATAAAATTTGTAAACAAGCAAGAGAAATGCATGACTAATTATGACTATGCACTATACCGAATGCTCTAGGAAAATAAAAAAAAAAAATCAGCATTGATTATATCCAGAATTTCATATGCTCATAACTTTAGAACAAGGAACAAATGAGCTTGCCGCCTACCTGTATGATACATATTAAAGTATTTGAAGTAACTCAGTAAAACAGGAAAAGGCAAGAGTCCGCAAGACAATAGTTAGTTCACAAAAAATATTTAAAGAAGAGTAAAGAACATGAGAAATAATCGTGATTAACTACCACCTAATAATATTGTGCAGCAAAGAAGTACTACCATAGATATAAGATTCTATTAATAAAAAAAGAAATACAACGGGTGAAACGCATGACAAATCAGAAAATGCATGCAGGCTGAGAGCCCCTAATTGATCATCTTGCTTCACATCACCATGCTCCACAACTCTTTCTTCAAAGCCCATGACACAATGGCTGATGACTCTATACAGCACAAAGAGTTTCCTATTAGAATGAACACGTTTAAATTAGAATTATAAGTTTACACAAGACATTTGTCAGCCATCCCTCAACTATTTGAAGTTTAAACTATGAGATCTAGCATAGAATAATCATGAAACTAGCCAAGACATCACACGACACACCAGAAGAAATATTAGACCAATATTTTAAAATTCAAAAACTTTGGAGTCATTTATAATCAGGGCAAGAAAGTCAGAGTCTCTTATCAAAATAATAATGAGGATCAGAATCACCACCAGACTACCAGAAGTCAGAGTCTCATATCAAAATAATAACGAAGATCAGAATCACCACCAGACTACCAGCAATCAATATGATTATATCTATCGAAGGTTCAAAGCTTCAAAAGAATAGAAATGGTAAGACATACCAGCCTAAAGAAAGCAAATTTCAGCAAACATGCATCTCTACAATTTTCTTTACATAATTGAGCAAGGAGTCTCACAAAGTCACAAATTAATGCTGCTTTCTTGTGGTTCCAATAAATAACTCATTTTTTTCCCCAAAACTCATAATTTGACAAAAAAGTTGCATCTACTATTCAACTATCCCTCCAATATTCCCTAAAATAGACCAAAATCTTGCTCAATATTGCACAGTTTCATAATATCAACAACCTTAATACTTAGCTATCAACCAAATGATTCCCATTTTATCATGTAACAGGAAATACACAACAATTCACTAGAAAAATCACAAGCCACTATTGTTGAATGCTCTCCAAGTGATCATTAGTGTTTCCGGTAGCTAATCTACTTAATGTGAGGAGCTTCATACACATCAGCTACACATTAAGTCAATACACAAACCAACAAACTTAGACGGAAGAAAATTTGACAATTAACACAGGTTAATGGTGCACATACCGTATCCTGAGTGACAACCCTTCCTCTTCGCCTTCATCATACGACGAGCATGAGACCTTGAATGAATCTTGGTAGGCTTCTTGATAATGAAACCATCTTTAACCAACTTTCTGACATTTTGACCTAAACAAATCAATTAAACATAAATTCCTATTCATTCATATCTTACAGTAAAAAAATAAAAAATAAAAAAATAAAAAAATAAACCTAATTACCGAAACAATCAACATAGTATAAACTTCAATTGCATAATGAAGCCACAAACTTTACAAAACCATTACAAGATCACAAAATCATCAAGGTAAATATAACAACATATAACTTATTCATAATACGAACTAAATCATTCAACTTGATCAATTAAATAATTTTTTCCAAAATTAAAACCAAAATTCGCAAATATATCGTCATTTTCTTATTCAAGTTTTTAGAATAAACACTAATGAAATCAATCAACAAATATAATTCTCAAAAAATTACGATGTTTTCATAATACTTCCTACAATTCGATCAACATCAAACGATCACTATTTTCCAGAAAAATTCACATAAAAAAGCACTTCATCAACTACCTTAAGAATTTATAGGGTTCTGATTTAGATAATCATTAGAAAAAGTAGAAAAACAATAAAATCTAACTATCAATTGAAAATAACTAAAACAAAAAGACAACTGAAGAAAATTGAAATCAAAGAAGAGAGAAAGAACGTACGAGAGTTAGCCATGGAGATTTCATTGCCTTCATTAGGATTAAGCCAAACCTTACCACGACCACACTTGAGAATATCGGCAGCGAGCTGCTTCTGAAGCTTCAAAGACAATGGAGAGGAGAGATGCGTGAGAAAATGGAGAGGAGGAGAGATGCGTGAGAAAATGGAGAGGAGGAGAGAGAAAGGAGAGAAAGGAGAGGAGAATGGAGAGGAGAGAGAACGCGAGAATGGAGATCTTAGTTGTTGAATTTCATATAATCTAACGGTTGGTATTGGTTCTCATATAGATGGTAGTTCTCACATAAAGGGTGGTTCTCACCGGACCCCGACCCTATATATATATATATATATATATATATATATATATATATATATATATATATATGTGGGAGGGATCCGATGAGAATAAGTCCATATGTGAGAATTCATACTTAAATGAGAACTGATTTAAAATTTAGAACATGTGACTTAAATTAAAATTTTGAACATATGAGTAATAATTTAGAACATTTGTATGAGTAATATGTTTAGAACATCTGATTTAAGAATAAGAACAAGTGATTAAAAATTTATAAAATTTGCTTTATGAAATCTTAAACATATGAGTAAAATTTAGACAAGATTATGAACATGTGAATAAAAATTTAGAATATAGAAAGTGTGAGTAAAGAATTTAGAACATACGAGTAAAAAAATAGAACATACGCTTTAAAATCTGGAACATATAATTAAAAATCTGAAGGTATACGTTTTAAAATTTAGAAAATGTAAGTTAAAATTTTGGAACAAGTTATTCAAAATTTATGATATCAAATTTAACTAATTTATGGTTTAGAACATGTGAGTACATACTAAATTAGAACATTTGATATAATTTAGAACACCTAAGGAAAAGTTTAGAACATCAGATTTAAAATTTAGAACATACGAGTAAAAATTTAGAACATAAAGAGTGTTCTCACATAAGAAAAATTCTCACATAAGAAAAATTCTCACGAGAGTCTTCCCCTACACACACACACACACACACACACACATATATGAACTAATCTCAGCCAATGATCGCACTCCATCTAATGGCTCACATTGCACACGCTCTCATTAATGACATTCTCGTAATTTCGTTGTTTCAAACTTTTTTTTCCAATTTTTTTGACTTTTAAGACAATTTTATTTACTTTAAGACTGATTTCATTTATTTTTACTTTAATTTTCATTTACTTTTGAGAAATGAAACTGGAAAATACTTTATATAGTTAAAATATTACAAAAATGTCATTAATGACACGGGAAGTAGTGAGTTGTCCAATTAACATGATCTAAGGGCCTAGATTAGTTTCCGGTTTTTATTTTAGCCTTGGTTCTCATTATAACTTGGTTCTATATATATATATGCATTGAAACAATGCCAACAAGAGTACAATACCACACATAATTAAATTTTTTATTTATATATTCTTACCAGTAGATGATTAAGGTTTATTTAGTTTGACCAAATGAATAGTAATTGAGTAGAACAAACAATACTCAAGGTAATAATACTCAAGGTAATATAATCAATATATTCTTATTGATTAAATTGATTTTATAAAGATGCCTTTAGTTGATTGATACAAACTTTTTATTGTACTTAATTAATAAAGTTGATTTTTAATTATTACATATGTTTTTCTTCATAATAAGCAATTATTAAAATAAAATTATTTTGATTCATGGAAAAAAAAATAATTTTGATAATAATTGAAACCAATTATGTATTTGACTGATAGTAATTTTAGTGAATATAGTTTATTCAAGAAAAAGATCTGATAAAATGACCTCAGGCTGCCATTTATGATACCCTTATTAGCAATGAATGTCTACAAGATTATATCAATTTTTCATATAGCTCAACCTTTAAAGTACTAGCTCATAAGTTTCAACAAAAATAAGTTAAGTTCTTGTTCTTTTCACCTTATTTTTACTAAACTTAAATTATATTTACTGAAAATCATTACTTTTTGTTGTACTTAAATTATTGTTTTTTTACTAATTCTCTTTTATATTTGTTCCATAAAGTTGTTAATGTTGTTAGTTAAAACTTATTTTTAATGAATTGAAATTATTTTACTAATTACTACTCCTTAAACTCAAGTATCCTAAAACTTAGTTGTCTCCTCTCCTCATTCTCTTTGTCTCTCCCGGTATTGTTATATATAGGGTTTTTATTTCTAGATGTTCTTTATTATTGGAATATAATATACCAATATAGTGTCACAAGTGTGACATTCATTTAATTAATATTCGATAAGTATAAAATTTGATTGCTAAATAACATGGTTGCAATCGCTATTAAATGATCATAGCTACAAAGTCACACATAGAGAAAGGACTTTTTTTTATTATTGATTTAAATATCTTTACTAAATTGAAATTAGATTTACTAAATTCATTTTTACAAAACTAGAATTATTTTACAGAATATTATTTTATTAATTTGAATAGAACATGGCCTCAGTGGTGGTTCAAGGATTTTTTTTTTTTTTTTTTTAAAGAAGCAATAATTGTAGGCTTGTAGCGAATTAAAAGACACTAGAAACTAATTTAAAATATAAAAAAAAATATTTACTAAAAAATATCTACAAAGTAATAAAATCCTGAAATTAATATATCCATAATATAATAAGTGCGAAGTAGAATACAACTTTTATCTTGTCCTCAATAAAATAAAATAAAAAAAGCTTTTATCTTCCAAAAAAAAAAAAAAAATTACTCACCAAAAGCTACAAATTAAAGTTTATTTTTTCTTGATAACATTCAATAGCATTCCAAAAGTGCAATCGATCTACCATTTATTTGTATTAAAAAATCAATTAATTAGCCTCTTGCACATGTAATTAGCCTTAGTAGAGGATTCCATCTATAACCCAATGTTGTGCTTCAAAAATGACCAATTAATGGGAGTATTTACCAAATTTTTTTGTTGGCTTTCATTGATAGTTCCTGTATATCCATTAAAATTAAAAAAAATCAATTAATTGGAATATTTAGAGATAGATAATTCTACAATTGAAATAGGCTACCCATCTTTTATAGGTAGGCTCTCGAATATAAATAATTAAAGAAAAAAAAATTGTAAATAAGAAACTTCTTATAGCAGGATCGGAGTTGTATAAAATACCATGTTATTGGGTGACAACTTATATTAAATTAATTCTTAATATTTATAATTTTAACTATATATTATTGTAAGATTAAGAATTTTTAAGATTGCAAAAGTTATTGTCATTCCAAAAAAAACCTTAAAAAAGTCGAAACCTTATGTATGTTACATGCAACGTGCAATATAGTTATAAATAATCTCATAATTTAAAAAAACAAAAAAAAAAAAAAAAAAAGAAAGATAATGAAATTGGAAAAAAAATATCAAGCATGCCATGGAGAATAGAAAATAATTAAACTAATCCGACATTAACATATCAAAACTTGCATGGAACATAATGAGAACCGATAGCAACTTTTTCACACGTAATGTTGAAACGGTGTTTAACGGACCATATAAAGCTAAGATAATTACTTAGCTTCCCTCTTAGGGTAATATCAAGCTTGATATCCTCCTTTTTTAGGTTAGACGTAGTTATTTGTACATCCTTAAATTCTACATTCATCTTAGGCAAATTATGTACACTTCTTCCTCCTTGTTTGTGATGTTGTATTTGATTAGTTCCATTCACATCGACACCTCCCTCAAACCACTCGGTTTGCATAGCCACATTCCAAAACTCTAAGCCTACGAACTTGTTTTCGTTGTCTGATTCGAATAAAACATCCATGTAAAACCATAATGCGGTCAAACAACTAATGAAGAACGTATATTCAAACCAACCATCGAAAATTTGGACAACTCAATAATGAAATCCGTATATCCGAGCTGACCATCGATCAGAAAACCAGTAATATTGGTACACTAAACTAGTGAGCTCGAATCCATGTCCCTTGAATTTTCAAGTTTTTGTAAATAAGTTGAATTTGGATATTTGGAGGGTTGAAGAAGATGACGCAAATTGATTGTCGATGATAGTTATTGTTAATTTAAATACTGCAATTATTAATTTTTATAGTGTTATTATTTATTTGTATATTGTTATTATTGATTTGTATATTGATTGGTCCTAATTTGTACATATATTATATTCTTATCTATTTTCAATTTCTTATGGATTTAGAGGTCTAAGGTGTATATTTACATTATTTGCTTAGGTTATGCTCTACTACTCTTCGTTTGTGTGTTTTGATGTACTAGGGTGGCTAGAGCGCGCTTCGCGCGCTTTTGGTTTGTAAATTGATTTGTTCAACGTATATAAAAATGTGGAAATTTCGGGGGTTTTAAAAATTTGATATTAAAGTATGTTGTGAGTTTGAATTGAAATGCAAAATGTCTAATTTAGTTTATGTTGTGTATTGTAATGTAAGAAATGAGTTCTTGTTAGAAAACTAAATATTGTTTGGGTGTTAGTTAAAAATAAATGTATAAAATAAATAATGCTAATGCTATTATTCATAATGTAATTTAGGTGTTAGGCCCTTTTTTTTTTTATAAGTATTAGTTTACTAATGTAGAAGTGGTGTTGTGAGATCAAAGTAAAAAATTGGTTTTACAATTTTTTTTTAGTAGTAATAATAAAGGATGTTATAATACTTGATTAAGCTAGAGAAATGTCGCGTGTAAAAGGACTTATGTAAAATATTATATATGAGAACTACATACATTGAGGCTATACTTGATATGTGTAGAAGTTTAGGTTATTTTAAGTTATGTTATTTCATATCCCAGATGAAAATTCACTAATCATTAATTCAATGATCCTTAAGTTTAACGACAATCATACTTATTGTGTTGATGCTAAAAGCTCGTGTATTTGATACATAAAAAGCACACTTTAAATTAGTGGAAAAACACCAAAGCCACTTATAATGGCATTGGCTTAAAAAGTGCACGTATTTGATACTTTAAAATCACATCTAAGCTATAGTATTTGATGAATTCAATAAACTAATCATACAAACGGAGGTCTCTCTCTCTCTCTCTCTCTCTCTCTCTCTCTCTCTCTCTCTCTCTCTCTCTCTCTCTCTCTCTCTCTCTCTCTCTCTCTCTCTCTCTCTCTCTCTCTCTCCCCTAAGTTAACTGCCTCAATATTTGTATGTGATCTTTCTTAATTGGTGTCTCACCTCTCTTACGCCAATTGACCTTATTTTAATAAATGATTTTCTTTAGTGGATGTTTTCTCTTTTTCTCTCTTAAGATAGTTGCCTTGATTTTCTTAAGTGATCTTTTATGTAGTCTCTTTTTTCTCTAGCATTTTAGTAAATATTTTTCCTAGCCTAATTGTATTTTCATAAGCTAATCGCCCTATCTTTCTTAAGTGATTGACTTTTCTTAAGTTGTCTCTCTAACGCATTGTTTCTTCTCTCCCTTTCCTAGGCTAATTGCCCTAAGGGTTTTTCTCCTAAACTAATTGTTTATAATTGCCCTAGTTTCTTAAGTTATCTTTCTTTATTTAGTGACCTTTTTTCTTGAGTGATCTTTCTTTTTCTTGAGTCATTTTTCTTTCTTAAGTGGTCTCTCTCACTAATGGTTTCTTTCTTTTACTCTCCTAAGCTAATTGCCCTAAGATTAACACCTAAGCGTACTAAATTCCTGAGTTCTAAGCTATCTTTTGTTCCTTTAGTGATCTTTCTTCTTAAGTCATTTTTCTTTTTATTTGATATTTCTTAAGTGACTCTCTTACTTTTTAGCAATTTATAAAAAAAAATTCTTAAGCTAATTTTTCTTATTTTCATAAGTAATCTTTCAAGTGGTTTCCCTCTTTTTGTTAAGAGAGAGTTCTAAAGTTGTTGTCTCTCTTAAATAATTTTTCTTAAATGGTCTTTCTCTATCTCTTTCTCTGGTAGGTAAATTCCTAAGCTAATGGCCCTAACTTTAATTTCTTAAGTGTGTTTTCCTTATTGGTCTCTCTCTCTCTCTCTCTCTCTCTCTCTCTCTCTCTCTCTCTCTCTCTCTCTCTCTCTCTCTCTCTCTCTCTCTCTCTCTCTCTAATTTTAGTAACCCTTTTTCTAAGCTAATTTTTTTTCTTAAGCTAATTGCCTCAATTTTCTCAAGTAATCTTTATTATAAGTGCCCCATTTTTTCTCGCTAAGTTATTTGCCTCGATTTTTGTATGTGGTCTGTCTTAATTGGTGTCTCACCTCTCCAAAGCCAATAGGCATTATTTTCATAAACGATTTTTCTTAAGTGGATGTTTTCTCTTTTACTCTCTTAAGATAGTTGCCTTAATTTTCTTAAGTGATCTTTTATGTAGTCTCTTTTTTCTCTAGCATTTGAGTAAATCTTTTTCCTAAGCTAATCGTATTTTCATAAGCTAATTGCCTCTTTCTTAGGTGATTGACCTTTCTTAAGTTGTCTCTCTAACTCATTGTTTCTTCTCTCCCTTTCCTAGGCTAATTGCCCTATGTTTTTATCATAAACTAATTGTTTATAATTGCCCTAGTTTCTTAAGTTATCATTCTTTATTTAGTGACCTTTTTTCTTGAGTGATCTTTCTTTTTCTTGAGTGATTTTTTTCTTTCTTAAGTGGTCTCTCTCACTAATGATTTCTTTCTTTTACCCTCCTAAGCTAATTGTCCTAAGATTCCCACCTAAACTAATTGCCCTAAGTTCTAAGCTATTTTTTTTTCCTTTAGTGATCTTTCTTCTTGAGTCATTTTTCTTCTTAAGTGGCTCTCTTACTTTTTTGCACTTTATTAACAATTTTTTCCTAAGCTAATTTTTCTTATTTTCATAAGTAATCTTTCAAGTGATTTCCCTCTTTTCGTTAAGTGAGATTTCTAAAGTGGTCTCTCTCAAATGATTTTTCCTAAATGGTTTAAGTCACTTCCTAAGCTAGTTGCCCTGATTTTAATTTCTTAAGTGGGTTTTCTTTATTGGTCTCGCTCTTTCTCTTTTTCTCTCTCTATCTCTCTCTCTCTAATTTTAGTAACCCTTTTTCTAAGCTAATTTTTTTTTTCTTAAGCTAAGTGCCTCAATTTTCTCAAGTGATCTTTATTATAAGTGATCTTTTTTTCTCTCTCTCTCCTAAGTTAATTTTACTAAGTGATCTTTATTATAAGTGATCTTTAAGCTAACCCTTTTTTTTTTCCTAAGCTAATTTTACTTATTTTCATAAGTCATTTATTAAAGTGGTGTCCTCTTTGTTAAGGGATTTTTCTTTTGGTTTCCCTCAAATAATCTTTCTAATGTTCTCTCTCTCTTTCTTTCTAGTAGTATTTCTCTTCTCTCTCTCATGTGCTATTTCGTAATTAATCTCTCTCTTTCTCTCTCTCAAATGATCTTTCTTCAGAATTTAACTTTAAAAAATGTAATTAGCTAGCTTAAGTGGTCCAATGAGCCTTTTCCCAAGCTAAGTCTTTTTATTTTCTTAAGTGATCTTTCTCTCTTTGATAATAGTAATGATCACGGATTCCCATGCTACAGATGAATATTTAACTCAAAGTTTTACAACAACTTCCAAATAAAACAATTAATAAAGAGTTATTATTAATTTGGTGATCGATGCTGAGTGGGGATCACGCAATGTCTTCCCCCGTTTATAAGATTTCAGGTATTCTCCCATCAAGACCATACAATGTCACTACAAACCTTCCCTTGTATTTCATGAGGATATTCCTCAAGCCACACTTGAGTCTTAGTAAAAGTACTACTTAATTTGGCTAGACAATGTGCCACTACATTGCCTTTATATTTAACAAAAGAAAAAGAAACAAAATGGCAAAGTCTAGCTAAGTAGAGGATATTTTTAACAATGCTTCCAAAAGCTGATGGTGGAGTTTTACCATTCTTTAAATCATGAAACAAGCTGATATTGCCCGTATCCAACTCAAAGTTCCAAACCTCAGCTTTCATGGATACAATGAACGCATGCCTTAATAACTTAATTATAGCCAATGTTTCACCAATGACAAACCTAAACTTTAGTAAGACTGAACAGTTTGCACTCCATTGAAGTCAGACGCAATCAATGTATCATTCTCACCTCCTTCCTCGTCAATGGCAGGCCTCCAATTTGGGTCATACTTCAAGAAATTGAGAAAAGTACTCATTGGTCATTCAACTGCCAGAAAAACTTGTAATTACTTGAAAGCTACAGAGAATTATAAATTTATAATATGAATTACAAGGTCAACAATTGTTTTACAGGTTAACGGATGGTTTCCACATAAAATCAAACTCAAAACCTGAAAATCTACATTGCACACTCCATAAGAGGGTGAAGAGCTTGAACTCGTTCCTCCTCCTCAATCTCCTCTTTTGCTCTGAAATTTAACAAAGCATTTAGTAGACCAAAAATACGAATTATGATCATTTTCAATTACAGCTTACCTGTCGAAATCAGCTGTCCTTGCCTCAGGATCAAATCTCATGCCTGAATTTTTTTACTTTACTTTGCTTCAAAATGTCAAGCTAAAATGTAGCCAAACTCATCCTTCCAATTTTGTACATAATTCTAAAAAGGAAAAAAAAACACAAATTCAGAACAGAATATTTATTTTGATGCCCCATGAGCATTGATTGTGTTCAATCAAAATACAAAGTAGCAAAAATCTTACAAAAATGAGAAAAGCATAAACACAGAAAGCAGCAGCTCATAATCCACGAATACTGTTTAAAGCCCCATGTACCCACACTGGAATTAACCAAAAAAATTAGTGCAGAGAGTATCATCTTAAAATACTTCTTATTACTACCATTTCCCGGAAGAAAGTCAGACTAATCACATAAAGTATCGATTTAGTGACATTTTTCATAGTGATAAGCTTATGGGTGATCACGTCACTATTGCTCAAGGAGGACAAAGCTAAGCAAGGTTCCTAGTTAATAGAATTTTCGCCAATAATGAACATCAAACACGTCTTAAAAAGCACATGGCTTCCAGTTGGAAGCTCGACCATAAGGATCTTCCCACAGCCCTTTCGGTTCCGGCTTATTCTGTCCCTACAAATTGTGAAGGATTTGAACATTTAACACTGAAAGACAAATATCAGTACATATATAAGATTTGCCTTCAAATGCTCAAGCATTTGTCAGACTTGTCTACACCAACAATGAACAAATAATTGATATCGTTCTGGAATCATCCATTATTTGCAGCCGCTTAACATAAGTTACCGTGAATTCACAGAAGATTAAATAAATAAACACAAGCTGAGCCAAACTTCTCCTTCACTACAAGAGAAATATACCTAGTTTGTTTCACAAAAACTAAATTTTCTACTCCCTTGGTTCCAAAATTGAAAAAACAATTCCAAAATCAAAGAACAGCAAAAATCCAAAAATATAAGGATTATAGATGGGTTTAATTATTTGGCAGTTTTATTTCATTTTCTCACTACTTTGGGTAGAATGTACGGTGGGGTTTTTTGATTTCTTTGTTTATGACTTTTTAAATTTACTCAAGGAAATACATGATTAAAATGTGTTAATTAAAAATACTTCGTAGTACATTAATGCAATCTCATGTTCAAGTACTTCAAAAGACAGTAAAATGCTTAATTGTTTGAATTATATGTCATTACTATGCAAATAGTATAATTTAAGTATATTTCCATTCCTATCGGACTAAAAATACATACGCAATGATTTAAATTGCCTCACGCAACATGATCACAACAACCTCGTTTATTTTACAAATTCAGCAAGTCTAAGGCATTCATACAATTATGTCAACTAATTGGCAATAAGTGATAAACGTGATAAACAAAGATGACTATAAATGATGTCAGCATAATCAAGGAATTAGGAAGGAATTAGGATTTAGGAAGGATATGAAGTATATAGATTTGCATGAGGATAAGGCATTGGATAGTAAGGGATGGCGAAGGAAGATCCTTGTCGATAACTCCACGAAATAATCACTTTTGGTTCGTTAAGTCGACCCCACTTATGGGATTAAGACTTTGATTGGTTGACTGATTCCTAACAAGATTAATGGAGCAAGCACTCCAAATTCCAAAAATCTACCCTTGAAACTCTAAAAACATAATCACTTTTAAGAGCCTTGTGCACTACGGTGACTATTTTTATTGTAGAACCATAATGAAATAACAATCACTTTTAAGAGTTTTTATTTTTCGAACTGATAGTAAATTATACCTTAATCCCACTTCCCAAAACTTGAGCAGAAGCTGCAAGAAGAGAAACACTCTTACATTAACAATTCTACAATTAGAGCCATACTTATTTGAGAAATAACAGCCAATTGATTTTGTTTTGATTTGAAACCAAACAGCAGATTAATCTTTTTAAAATTAAAACCTTAACCGTACTTCCCAACACTTGAGCAAACCAAACAGTAGATTAATCTTTTTTAAAACCTTAATCCCACTTCCCAAAACTTGAGCAGAAGCTGTAAAAGAGAAACACTCTTACACGGCATGCAAAACAATAGATCTACAGATAACTAAGCGGTTCATCATAAAAAGGAACAAACAATTTAGTCCTCCCAAATCCTTATACTACATCTTATATACCACTCCAATAAAACTAAAAACAAAATTTAAACAAGAAAAATCAACGAAAGTGGAGTACCAGATTCATCCAAACGATCGAGAAGTTAGCCCCCTCGAGACGAAGATTTCCATCGGTTGATGAAGTCAGATTTTGATGAGTTACTCCCCTAAAAAACAAAAAGATGATAAAAAAGAAAAAAAAATCAAAATCAGAGGATCTGAGAAAAAGGAATTGAGCAAGTTCTATACAAATTGAGCATGGATACTCAAGGAATCAAAAGGTTTTCGATTGTGTAAAACTCATGTTTTTATTTCCCAATTTACATTTCCCCTGTTTCTTTGATAATTTACATCAGCAAAATCAGCCATGGAAGCACCAACTTTTAGATCAAAATCAACAAAGGAAACAACACTCCTAGCAGCTTACCAATTTAGATACCCCATGATGAATTAGATTCCTGGGTTTCCAATAAATTTCCAGGAAAAAAAAATACAGAAAACATATGATAAATCCTAAATAAAACAGACAGCTTAAAAGAACTCTTAATCGACAAATAAAATTATTGATAACCCAAGATTATATTGTGAAGATGGTATTCAATATTCTCAAAAACATTTTTTTTAAAAAAAATCAACACTAAATACCTAATTTGATTCCTAATCAATCACTCAAACCCTAATTTCTGTCCAAATTAATGCATTTTAATTGAGCCGAAAGAGAAATGAAGAGAGATGGTACCTATTTGTGATGAGATTGAACGGTGTAAGAAATCTCATGAAGATTCGAATGGCCAAGAGCTTTCATAACCTGATTGTGATTGGAAGAATAGCTTCAATTTAACACCACATAAATTGTATAATCAAGTTGAGAGAAAGTGAGGTGAGAGAAAAAGATGAGCCAAATTAGCCCATACATTGCCCCAATTATTACTTGTGGTAGTAAAACTGTTAGATAAATAATGTATAATTTAAATATTACTGCCCCAAATTAGCCACTAATTAAGGTATAATTTAAAGATTACTATCCCAACACTAATAAAAATCAGGAAAACAAAGCATGATATTTCTAACAGAAATTTAGAGAAAATGTTAGCATAATTTAACATACATGCATTTTGTGATCAGAAAATGTTGGTCTTTGTCAAGACTTGAAGTTGTGACCTTGAAATTCAAATGCTAACATGCAAGAAAGAATTAAACGTATTTGTGTCTATTACACATGTTAATTTAACATCAAAGTTTTCTGATCATATAATAAACTCAGAAAACAGATCAATAAGCAAGCTGTGCATTGATCCCACACATTCATTATGCCTCCATGTATAGCAAAGTAAAGGGAGGTCAAATGTTCACAAAACCACAAAAGAAATGACGACTTTCTTAGCAGTGGTGAGTCCACATATAAAAGGGTGTGTACATGTAAATTCGCTTAAATTATTATAACAATTAAAGACTTCATTGAGGTTACATTGATCGCTAGTGGCCTCGTGATTAGTACATGCATTTGAATTTCAAGGTCACAACTTCAAGTCTTGAGAAGCTCATTATTTCTATCTATTCTTTATGCACAAGTAACATTCAAACAACCCCATTTTCACCCCTCGTATCATTTTAGGTTTTTACTACTTAAATTATTATGCACCCCTTGATTCACCATTGTGTCTTAACTACACCCTTGACTGGAAAGGCATTGTCTTTCTCAACACAAACGAAAAAAAAAAAAAAACGCGAAAAAATTTCAATAACAATCTCTTTTGATCCGAACATTTGGTAAACTAAATTCTCTCTAAAACCCACAATAAATACAGTAAAACGTTCGAAAAAGCTCGAATTTCATAAGATCACTACAAAATCAGCCCACAATTCAACACCACATTACTCATTAAACCCCATTTCCCAAATCACAACACATAATGCAGCTCAAATTGAACACAAAATCCAACAAAATATACAATTAAAAACACAAAGGGGGCTTACCGCGGCCAACGGGTACCAAATCCACAGAATCCAGTACGCATGTAATAGACACAATCAGATACACCAGGCCGTTCTGGGTACGTCTCTCGACCTGAAAGACCCAATCTCCACATAGACTCTACATTTCCATCAACAATATACCACAAATCATTCAATTAACCAACAACATTACAAAACCCTAGAAATAAAATCATCCAAAAATTCAAAAAAACCCAAAAACAAAATCAAAATTAAAAATGAGCGGTTTTATTGTATTACCTTCGAGTCCAGTTTCCCCCCATTCAGCTGTCGGATCAATATCATGCTTTGTTTTCCCAAAACTTGAGCAACAGAGTAATCGAAATTTAGAGAAACTGCCCCAAATTAGCCCATACGTTGTTCTTCAGTTTTACTATCCCAACACTAATAAAAATCAAAATTTTTATCATCCATACATAAATAGAGATCAGCTTAGTTTGTTAAAGTCATAACTCGAATAATACCCGTCACCTAAAATTGAATCTCATTTGCATAACATAACACCTTGATTTTTCGATGAGCTTAGTGAAGGGGTTTCTCAGCTTGAGCGATTGCGAGTCCGATACTTCTAGGGGTAAAATTGCCATCGCTGATATTAGTTCTGCTGCTCCTGATTTTTGATAATTCATAGAGGCTATTTAGGAGAGAGAAGTGAGGTGAGAAGAAATCTGTAGAGAGAGAAAATGAAATAAGAGAGAGAGTGAGAAGGGAAAAGTGAAGGAATTTGGACCAAATGCTCAGAGCCTCAGAAGATCATGTGCAAAGATACCACAAGACTTTTTTGAGGGCAAATCAGTCACAACACTGTAGATAAGGAATTGCAAGTACAAATACAGGGGTAATTTGGTCAGTACACTGTTCATAAGGAACCCCAAATTTTTGTGTGTTGGTGCTTTTATAGGATAAGGATTTCAGGTGATTTAGATGCAAATGGATTATAGTTGGCTATTCTTGAGTATAATAATCATGGACTATAAAGCTATGTTGCTCAAGGATCTCAAATCATGTTTTCGAGAGGAAATAAGGATAGAAAGAAGCAAAGGCGTTGATGAAAGACTTGACGGATATGAGTTTCGTCTACTATTTTGATCACAACTTTTTATACACAAATGATATTGGAGTGATTCAAATTGCATTGAAAATTATACTTTAAGAGATTTCCAACAATATATTACACGCCTCAAATAAACAAAGATCTGGAGCTCAATTTATGACCGTTTTAAGAAGAGCTACGCGTGCAGCAGCGAGGCACGTACATGCCTCATGCTAACACGTCCGTGCAGGAACGATAAATCATCTTATTATCGGATTATTTTCCTAATTCTATCTTAATTCCTAGATTTATTATAAATACTCCTTGACTTTATTATTGCAAGACCCCATTAGTTTAGAACCCTTGTTTTCTTTGTAGTTTATTTTATTAATTCAAGTATTACATTTTCTTGTTCTCTTTCTTTTATTTTATTTCTTTTATTATGTTAGTGTAGATTATTAATCTAGGGTTAGGTTGAACCCTAACCATGATTGATACTTGAATTATTCTTTTAAATTCTCAATTAATTATTTATATTGTTCATGCTTAATTGATTGTGCTTATGCCAATACTAGATTAGAGATAATTGGTATTGCTATTATTCTATTGTCTTGATTGCAACGGGAGTTGGTTTTTGATGGATTTGAAAAGATCAATTAAGGGTATGAAATTCTCCACGGAAGTAGATAGAATGGATTATTAGGAAGTTAGGGTGCCGAACTTAATGTCTTTAATTTACATGATTCCGCGGAAGTAGGTTTGATTGTTAATTAGGAAAGCCATTGACAACTCGGGAGAGATATTTGATATTTTATAGGGCGTACCTTTCCTTGTAGACGTATAATTAATTGATTAGGGTAAGAATTTGTCTTGTATTGATTATGCTAGTGGTGATACTTAATTCTAGATTTTTTATTATTTTTGATTCATGTTTGATATTTTAGTAGTCATAGTTATTTAATCCATCGTTTTATCTCTTATTTAGTTTTGTCATTGGTGAAAGTTGATTGTTAAACAATCTTCTCTCTGTGGGATCGACCCTAACTTACCCTACTACATAATTAGGAGGTCTAGTTAGGAATTATTTTTGTAAGGTGTGCGACCGCCTATCATATACAGTTGTTGGAATTTGATTTGAGTTTATATATTTTCGATTTTCTAGAATGTTTGTGGGTTTTCTTTAAATATAATCATTTAAACAAAATTATTTTCAGTTTCTAATTATACTATAATATATTATAGCGTAGCTTGACAAAGCTTTTGCGTGAAATTACATTTTTACCCTAAGTATCATCGTTTCTGGTAGCAGGCTATCTAGGCCTGATCACGGATCGGATATCCGATCCGATATCCGATTTCGGATCGGATATTCGAATCCGAAAATTTGCAAATTTGATATTCGTATTCGATCCGAAATGTTTCGGATATCCGATATCCGATATCCGAAATTTTTCGGATCGGATACTTCAATTATCCGTTATCCGAAATTTTTAAAAACTATTTTTTAAAATATTATTTTTTCCGTTTATTATAATAAACTATTTCATTATACAATGTGTTCTTTTCTTTTTTTTTTGGGAAAAAGGGAGCATATTAAATTACTTAATCAAACGGTTCATACAAGGCATCATCAAAAAATCAAAACCAAAGCTTCCCTGATTGTCTCTAACAGAACAAACAGAAATAGAAAAGCTAAAGCAATAAGAGATCTGCATCCAATTAGTTGCTATTGTCCTGAAGGTCTTGCTCATAAATATCATTCACGCAAGTTGGAGCAACATCATGTGGTCTTTCATCATCCTCCATATTAATCGCAAGCTTCCATGTCAATGTAATTGAAGTCAATATTACGATCAGTCTTCAGAAATTCTCCAATATCCCTCAAAATGACAGCTAGTTCATTAGTTCCATAATTTTCTAGGATTTTCTTGCAAGCCACGATCCATCGCTTCTTCTGAGTTCTGATTACACAGCCTGCACCCGCCTCTCCGGAATTTCTCCATGATCCGTCATATTAACCTTTTGAGTACCTTGTCCTGGCCTCTTCCACATTTCATACTGGTTACGAATGGCTGGAGCTTTTCCTTTCCCCTGAAAAACAGAATTAGTGGCAACCAAATCGACCATAAACCTGTTAAGCATAGTTACAGGATGAAGCATAGCCAGGGCAGCAACAAGCCAGCAACGGAGCAGCAACAACGGAGCAGCAAAACAGCAGGGCAGCAACAACGGAGCAGCAAAACAGCAGGTCAACAACAGCAATATCAGTACAGCAACACAACACCATCAATACATCAACACAACACCTGGCAGCAATAAAAAACAGCAATAGACAAACTAAAAAAACAGCAAAGCAACACACAAAACCACTAAACCAATTAACCAAGCAAATATTAAACACACAAAAACATATTAAACACACATAAAATAATCTATACAAAGCTCCAAGCCATTAAAAGTCCACAAACTCCAAATTAGTAAATTACACCACAAAAAACAAAATAAAAAAAATTACAACTTCATCCTATGTATCTCAAGCTCCAATCTCCAATCTTCAAGCTCATCTTCAATTTGTCACATGTAATCATCAACAACGCCACTCGAAGGTTGCTCAATGAGTGGTAATAACTCTACACAACAATTTTTAAAAAGAATATAGAATAAAAAATTAGTTAGAAGTTAAAACTAAATTATGGAAATTAATTAAAAAAAACATAATAACTAATAAAATGTTTTACCTTCTTCAATTCTCTCAATATCTTCAAGATTTTCTTCAACTACTAAAGGACCACGAGTATTTCGCAACCAATCTTGAGCACATATCAAAGCTTCAACCATATTTGATGAAAGTGAGCTACGAAATGGATCAAGTACTCGTCCACCCGTACTAAATGCAGATTCAGACGCTACAGTGGACACGGGAATAGCTAACACATCTTTTGCCATAAGAGCTACTATAGGATATCTTTCCCCACGATTCTTCCACCAATCTAAGGCATCAAAGCTCTTTCCAATAGTGTTAGGTTCTCTTTCATCATTTAGATACTTATCCAAATCACTCTTTTTCTCAAGATTGCTTTGACTTCCTATATCCCTCTCAAATTCAAATTCAGCCATGTCATGCCAATCCTCAAAGCTTTCCAAGTCTGTTGTAGTTAAATCAACCATATTGGATGGACTTGACCCACTTTGTGTTTGTTGAGAGGCATAATGTTCGTACAAAGAATTCAACGCATCCTTAATCTTATCATACAACTCTTTACCCTTATCCAAATCATATTGATCATCAATAGCCCACTTCACATATTGCATCTTTCGCCTTGGATCAAGTACAACATCAACATACAACATCAAATTGATATTATTCACATTTTCCCAATACTTATCATGTTTTCTTTTCATTCCATGGGCCATTAATCTTTCACCAAGTTCACTACTTTCACACTTTCTCTTTATCATCTTTCCAATGGTAACAAGTTCTTGCAAATACACATTAGAAGTAACATATAAGGACCTAGAAAGTCTTAAAGTAGCATCATAAAATATCTTAAGAAAAGGGAGCAACGAAGCAACACGATCCCAATCATCATCAGTTGGAACACCATTAGACTTTGTCAATTCTTCATTAAATTTACCACCATCAGAAGTTTCAAGCAAATCAAAAGCCTTACGATAAATAGAAGCATATTCCAACATCAAGTAAGTTGAGTTCCACCTAGTTTCAACATCTAAGCAAAGATGATGTTTAGACTCAATTTGCTCTTGATTGACACAATTCTTAAAATTCTGTAATCTTGCGGGAGAAGATCTAACAAACCTTACCCCATTTCTTATTATTTTTATTGACTCATCATTTTCTTTCAAACCCTCCCTCACAGTCAAATTGAGAATATGAGATGCACAACGCATATGCACAAATTTTCCCCCCAACACAGCCCCATCTTTCCATCTTTGAAGTCTTCTTCTTATGTATTGAATACCTACATCATTTGAACTAGCATTGTCCACTGTTATAGTCATGACTCTACTAATGCCCCACTCAAGCAAGCATTTTTCTATCCCTTTACCAATAGCCTCACCAGAATGACCGCTAATTAGACAAAAATTTAAGATTTTTTTGTGCAATATCCAATTATCATCTATGAAATGAGCAGTCAAACACATGTAACTCAAGTTTTGACATGATGTCCAAGTATCAGTAGTAAGACAAATGCGAGAAGAAGACTTGGAAAAGTAACTTTTTAGCTTCTTTTTTCCTCTACATATATACGATAACAATCTCTTGCCACGGTAAAACGAGAGGGGAAAACAAATTTAGGTTGTGCAAATGACATGAAATAGAGAAAACCCTCATGCTCACAACATCTAAAAGGTTTCTCATCTATTATGACCATCTTTGCAAATGCTTTTCTACATTCATCTTGCTTAAATTTCCAAAGATCTAATCTACCTTTTCTCCCATTTACAAATGTCCCCGACATATTTTCATCCACACTACCATCTCCCTTAACTTGTTCAGTTTGCTCACTTTGCAAAGAAAGAAGTTTTTGTGATTTATCAATGTTAGGAGGGTATTCTTTGCACCTTTTAAGATGATTTTGCATAACAGTTGTACCACTCTTTGAGTCACCACAAACATCAGTTTCACAATAGTTACATTTAGCCCTCTTATCCCCATCTCTTGTGAATAACAGAAAGTGATCCCAAACCCAAGATCTTTTCTTCTTACCTTTTTTTGGAGCTCTAAGATCATCCGACGCTCTCTCGGTTGGAATTTGCGCCGCCGAATCAGGTGGAACATCTTGTGGCTTTGGTTGTGAAGCATTTGCCGTAGATGTCAATGGATCATCACTTGAGGGGTTAACACTTGAGGGGGTAGTAGTAGCACTCTCCCCTGTCATATCCTCCATAAATCTGTCACTATAAGAGTATGTTAATATGTGAAAGACCATATATGACAACTATTGTTAATAATGAACACCCAAAAAAAGAAAAATTCAGTAGCAGAAAATTATGGCTCCTCCTACAAAGACAAAATCAAATTCCAAAATAACATTTTGAGATCATGATTAAAATACAGAGTCTGCAGCAAACTTCAGACATCAATTTGTTCAATTAGTTATACTAGAAATAAGCATATAAATAGTCTCATCATAGGTAGAACAACTATGACTCAATTGAGACCTTATAACATACAATGTGCATCATAGATAAATCGTTTATAACCGTTACGAACCTGACACTCATCCAACGAACAGTGTGTGCATGCAAGTGATAAAATAATTTGATTCAAGACACATCAAATACTAAATTTTCTAGTAGGCACAATTCTATATTATCATTAAATCTTAAATCAAAGCAAAATTAAATAAGAATTCCCATTTGATTAATTTTTTCTCCAGTTTCAGACATACCCATTTGATTAATTTTAGGAGGGAATCAGAGAACTATTAAGATAAACTAGATTAAAAATTGTTAATTTATGATTTATGCAAATCTAATTGAGAGTCTTGTTGAAGAAGGGGAGTTGAATGAAGTCTCTTTCTCTTTACAAGACGAAAATGAAAAAAACGAAAGAAATCAACAACAGCTCAAAAACAGACTTCCTACATTCAAGATACTCAACAGCATTTCAAGTTTCAGATATACACAAATTAATCAATGGGTGATTCAAAATTTCATATAGCATTCAAGTATTCAAAAAAACCCTAATTTCAGTAAGTTGTGAAATTTGTAAAGAGAGATGGAGTTTTACCTGAGCGAGAAGGAACTTGGAAGCAGTCAAGCATGCGGCGGCCGGCGAGAAGGAATGAGAGTTGAGAGAGGCAGAGAGGGAGGCGACTAAGAATTTGAGAAATCGAGAATGAGAGTCTGAGAGAGACAGAGAGCAGAAGAGGAGGCGACTGAGAAATTGAGAATGAGAAAGAGGGATTGAGGTTTAGTGGTTTACTGGTTTAGACTTTAGTAATGTAGTCAAGATCATGTGGTAAATCCGTAAATTGGTAATACTAGTTAAATAATTCAAAGTATTATGATGATTAAATTTTAAATTCGATCACTTTCAAATTTATTTGGAAAATATGTACTCCGTATTTGTTTAAAAATCAAAACATTATACCCAAAGTTAATTCAATTCATGGGCATCCTTTTAGTTTTATTGATTATTGAATACTTTTAGTTTTATTGATTATTGAATACTCAATAAGGTAGGATGTTAAATTGACTATTCGATTCGGTAAATCGGTAACGATAATCAATGATCACTCTTACTCATCATGATTGAGCGCAATTTATTTCTTGAAATTAATTCTAACTTCTAAGTTTAAGGTTTTTGTTAATTACAGAGTAAATAGATCAGAAGTCATCTTTAAAAAGTACAGTAATAACATACATGATCTGATGATCGTTATATAATTACCATTAACCCCATAATACTCCATATGAATGACAATTAATTTGATTAACTTAAGTATTGAGAATAGCAAGATTTAGTGACCAGGTAGTATTTGGTGTAGACGTGTAGTTGATAAGAGTATCACCTCACGACTTCATGGGTTTCGATTCCTACTGGCTAGGGGTGCTTATGATGCGAGTCGAGTTTTCATTTTAGTGTATACATATGATGATACGAGTACATAAATAACGTTTTATTTATTAATTATTAATATAAAAAAAAAGTTTTTTTATCAAAATAATTTAATTTTTAGTGAATATGATATTATATAAAGGAATTCGAGCTTCTCACGAGCTTTCGAGTCGACTCGTCTCATTAACATTTCGAGTCAAGCTCACTCGAGTCGAGTTTTGACTGAGTCGAGCTCGAGTAGCTCGCGAGTTGTCTCGTCTCATAATCACCCCTACTACTGGATGTGGTTCTTAAAAGCTGGAGGTTCCCTTATCTCCCCCACCCCCTTCCCAAAAGCCTGCTATACGTAACTAAGTTGGTTTACTTGAAAAAGATATTGATCTAGTATGGTCGTTCTCCTTACCCACCAATATAAAACAAAAACTAAAAAAAAAAAAAAAAAAACTTGATATAGTAGGACATAGAGGTGTCATTCAAGTGTTTGGATTCCGTGAAGTTGGATCGAATCTATTTTTTAATTTGAGACATACAAAATTATTATTTCCAAATAAGTCGATATTTGAATTTAATTTTTGTAGATTGTATCAATCGGGTGAATTTTTGACACATTTAGAACTTTTTTTTAGATTAAGGTTTGACACATCTAGACTAGTACACAACAAAAATACATAATTGGAGTTCAAATAGAAAAAAATACATAGTTGGAGTTATGTCGACATAAGTAGAAACAATTTAAATTGAAAAAAGCCCAAGATTAAGGAAAAATAGTGCCCATACAAGTTTACATTTTAGATTTTACTATTTTAGGCCCAAAAAGCCAAGCCCAGCTTAATTTTCGGATATCAATTCGGATACGGATATCCGATATCCGATTTTTTTCGGATATTCGGATATCCGAAATCTGAAAATTTACTATCCGAGTTGGTATCCGATATCCGACTTTTTCGGATCGGATATCCGATCCGAAAAAAAACCGGATCGGATATCCTAAAAAAAACGGATCGGATACGAATCGGATTTTCGGATTTTCGGATATTCGGATTTTCCTGCACAGCCCTAAGGCTATCACGACTCATACATAAGTTATACTTGGAAAAAAAACACGCGAGGGTTTGAAGAATTTTCTTGTACATAGTATCTAAAGTACTCCCTCAGTCCCTGAAAGAACGACCCATTTAGCTTAATTTTAGTCAAAAAAAAATGACCCATTTGTTTTTTCCAACATCTATTCATTTCTATTCCTTTTAAAAATGCCACCTTGACAATCTTGTGTATTTTAATTATATTAACAATACTTTAATCTTATTGACTAATAAAGCATCACATAAATTAGTTCATTATCACATCATGTTTATTAGGCATAGGATAAAGATAAAAACTTACATCTAGGACTTTATCTCTCTAGATATTAATTGCAAATTATTGTTGATTTGTGTTTTCCTATACATTTGTACTTGCAATTAAGTTTCTTAACACCCGCTCATTTATGCGCGCAACCGTCCACTATAAAACTTTAAATGAAGCCGGCTAAATTAACTACTACGTACTTCGGGGACGGAGGGAGTATTATGTATTTGTGTTTCTATCTATTCAAAAAAAAAAAAATGTTTATATTCCTCGTTTACGCGCGCAACCGTCCACTATAAAACTACAAATGACGGCGGCGTGATCACGGCCACATTCTGACGAAGTTCAGCCGTCATATGCTAAATCCTTTCTAACGGCTACATTTCGCCATTGCCAAATTTCAAAAACCTTCCATTTCCAGTTTCAACCTTGTATAAGCAAAAGTACCTTGAAAATGGAGCGCAGTCTTTTGGCTTTTCTGCGCTCTTCTCATCATATAAACCAGCTTAAGCAAATTCATGCTTTGATTATCACCAGATACCCTTTTCTCTCTCCTAATTTTGCTCATAAATTGCTTAATTTGACCCAGTTGAAGTATGCCCGCAAGGTGTTTGATGAAATGCCTAACCCAGATGAACGTTTGTATAATATGTTCATTTCTGCGTATTCTAGGATTGGTTCATACAAAGAAGCAGTGGGTATGTTTTGTTTGATGCGTCGTAATGATAATAATATTACTAGTTATAGTGTTCCACCTGTTTTGAAGTCGTGTTCGGCTTTCTTGATGGTGGGGTTGGGGAAACAAGTTCATTCTTTGATAATTAGTTTCGGGCTCGAGTCGAATTGTTTTGTTCAAACTGCTTTGATGGATTTGTATGCAAGGTCTGGTGATTTGGTATCTGCTAAAATGGTTTTTGATTGTATTTTAGATAGGGACCCTATTACTTATAATTGTTTGATGTCTGGGTACTCCAAATCTAGTGATGTTTTAGCAGCTCGTAGGTTGTTTGATGAAATGCCTGAGAAAAGTATTGTTTCGTGGATGTTGAGCAATTAGGTTTTGATGATTATAAACTAATGATGATTATCTATCTAACGTGTATGTTAAGTTGTGCATAGAAAAAGCAAATTATGCTTGGAACAGGATACAAGGAACCTGAGTAATGACAGGTATATATGTAAGGAACTTGAGCAATATAGGATAAGCAATAGAGGAACAAGAACAACGATAAGTGTTATGGTTGATAAGCATGATGATGGCTAAGGGACCATGAAGGTAACTATGTAAACATGTGTTTACATATGTTAGCTTCATAAGGTAAGTATCCTATACATATATAGGTTATGTATGTGTAGGAGTCTTTTAATTTAGTTTAGTTTTCTTTATTGTTTTTATAAATAAAAAACTAACCTTCTGTTTTACTTTGTTATTCTCAGAAGTTTGCTCAGTTCGTCATCATCAAAAAGGGACAACTTGTTGATCCTTATGAGGTTTTGATGATGATGTTAAGAATTGAGCAAACTTCCATTTAATAAGGATTTTCTAGTGTTGTGATGTTTGCAGGTTCAGTAAGCGTTGAGGGCTGAAGTAGGAATTGAAACAGAGGAACTTTAGAGGATCCATGAGGATACAAGTAAAGTTAGAAGAAGAGTTCCAGAAATGGAACTTCCAGAAGTTTCTTAACAGGAACTTCAAAACGGGTTGTAACGACCTGGTTTCGGTGTAATGCTGGGGAAAACCCTAAGATCCAGAATATATCAAGACTACAGGATTCCAGAACAAGAGTTTCAGAGAAGCAACATGAAGACAGAGAAATAGAAGTATATTGCTCTAGGATTCATGTAAGTATGTTGGACATAAAAGTCGGTCTGGAACAAGTCTATATAGAACCAAGGTGAATTCCAAACAGTCAATGAAATTAGAGTAACTGACTTGTCAGGAACTCAGAGACTGTCAGAGTTCAGGAACCTAATAGGAACTTAAGTATGAACGTCGTTAAAAGTCGGTTTTAATGATATATATATTTACCTTATACGTGCATATCTTTTAGGGATTTGGTTTTACTGAATAAAGATATTTATCTTCTAATAAATCCCTTTTGGAAAAAGATAAGATTGTTTAAAAAGTATTTTAAACAAAAAGATAAGTTTTGAATAAAATCTGATTTTATGCTAAGTTTATCTTATTATTATTGACAGTTTTTATTCTTAACAAAAAGGTATATTTTCGGAAAACTGATTTTTAGAAAATATCTTTTAAACTTATCTTTTCAGAAAATCTATCTTTTTCAAGATGAAATGAATAATTCGAGTGTACTATAAATATGCTCATATGCATTCATTCAAAGTAGAGGCTGACGAAGTGTAGTGGTCGTGCTTAATGGTTTTATCCTTCACCACGAAGCTAAGTCAGTCCTCCTGGTCAAAGTTCCTATCAGGTTTTTGGTTACAATACGTCTAGTGAGTTCCAGACAGATCTTGAGTGTTCAACATATTAGTTTTATCTCTTTATTCATAGATATGTATTTAGGGATATTCAGTGAACTCTTGTAATGGGGAATTAATAAGGGTTTGAGTGAACTCTTGTATTAGGGTGAGAACTTGAGTGAGTTCTTTGTATGTAGAGAAGGCTTTGAGTGAAGCTTGAGAGAAAGAGAAAGAGTAAGGTTTTGAGTGAAGTCTTGAGTGAGAAGAGAGGTCTTTGAGGGAAGATTTCAAGCTGCAACTATTAGAGGGAATAGTTGTTGGGGATATGAGTTCGTTGAGGAACTCGGTAGAGGCTCAAGTTCCTCATAGGTTGTAACAGAGTCGTTGGCCTATTTTAGTGGAATGTTTTGAGTCAAAATCCCTTTGGGTCGAGGTTTTTCACTTCCTATTTGGCCTAGGAAGTTTTCCTCGTAAAATCTCTCTTGCACTATTTCTCTATTGCGTTAAGTTTCTTTTAATTCCGCAAAAAGTGACTAGCAATCTCCATACTACAATTCACCCCCCCTCTTGTAGTATATCATCCGAAATAACAATTGGTATCAGAGCCGGTGCTCTTGATAAACCGGGCAACCCCGAGGAGCAAGTTCCAGGCTAGGATGGATACCTACAAGGAATGCAGCGAATGGAACTCAACCCTAGAACGTTCCCAATACCACGTGAAGACCAAAGTCTGCTTGTGAAGCAGATTTGATTCAAAGATGAACATCTTTGAGGTAAGTGTCTCGTCTTTGAAGTCTTGATTATATATGTGTACAAGTTCCTTGTAGTATTTCTAGTTAAATTTTGGATTTTGTTTTGAAAGTTTGCAAATCAATTTTGTGTAACCTCAAATCTGATTTATAGAGTGAAAAGTATTTGTCAAATTTACAAATTGATTTATTTTTAAAGAATCGGTTTACTGGAAATAGTTCAAGGAACGTATTATGTAGAATTATGCATATTTGGTCTCTTGGAACCTAGATTACCCCTGTATGGAAACTTAATTCTTTGGGCAAGGTAATGAACGTATATTTTGAATATTTGCCAAAGAATGACCTTATCATGTGTATGTGTTTTTCTGAATATTTATTATGTAGACACATGGTGTTTATTGTTAGTAAAGATAGTTGGTTTAACCGTAGTTGTTTTAATTATGGATTATTGATGTCTATTACTAACATGAAGGTACCTAATATAAATTGGGTAACCAAAGCCAAAAGATGACCGATTTTGCAGGCTAAGTGAGTGGAGACAACTTATTAATAATGATGATCTTTGGTTGTTTGTATATAAGCAATTATGTGCAAATTCCTCTCACTAGAAAGCCTTTATAAGAGGTTTGTAGTAGGTGAAGCGACAGTGGATAAGTGTGTAAGTCGCCTATACATCTCTCTGTAAATATTGGTCATGTGCTTTTAGTATGTATTAATCCTTCACAAAGTCCTATTGAAATTCAATTCCCTAATATTATGAAGGTTATTTGTGAATGGATGAAAAGAGAAGTTGTTTGGATGTTTATAATGTATATCATGACAAACTAACTTCTCTTCTAGCTTTGTGCAAGTTATTAATGATTGTTTTGTAGGTTTGTCCATTGAGACAAATTGGTGCGCAAAAGTTTGTTCCATTAGGAGCTCAGTGCTTAAATTGGTTGGAACTTGGTAAACTTGGAATGATAAAACGAATTAGGGATACAGGAATAACAAAGCTTCTATATCAAGGTGCTATAGGAGTTAGCGTATACGTTCCTGTAAAGATTCTTGTTCAAGTTCCAGTTAAGTTCTTATTATTCAAAGTTCCTTGGAACAAAGCATTAATTCCTGTAGCAGACTCTTATGAAGGATGATGAGCTAAGATGATTATATTTGACTTCGTGTTAGAAATTCATCATTTCGTTGATGGAACGACATCTAAAAGGGAGTATTCTTACAGGAACTTTATGTTTTAACACTTTTATGCTTTAGGTTTTATCTACCTCTTTTGACTAACCTACTGACATTTTAAAGGCACAAAGGAATCTCTTGGGTTGTGAACTTTCATGTTATATCTTTTGAATGATAATATGAGGGACTTTGACAAGGTGTTGAAGAATTTGAGATTTAATCAACACGTTCCTCTACCCAAGATACAATGGTCTAAAGGACCAGAAGGACATGTTCCAACTTTATGTCAAAAGGAACATGGAAGAGTCGAAGGTTTATAATAGGAGGGAACTCGCATTATCTCGACAGCGAAGTTCCAAAAGAGATGATGATAGCCAAATCAAGGTATCTCTTTCTATAAACCTACAATGGAAGAACTTTGACTTATAATACTAACACGAAAGGTAAAATTTCTACAGAACAGGAAGTTAGTAAGTCAAGTTCCTATCCCATTGTGAATATCTTTCTTGTCGAGTTTTTAATGCACATTCTGGTTTTCAATTGCTTGTAACTCTAGTTGTTTCATGGCTTCAATAAGACATCATCAATAAAGAGTGGAAATGTCACATATGAAGGGAATCAAAAAGGGAACACATCATTTGTGGATCTCAAGGTGATTCCTAACAACAACCTGACATTTCTAGGTTTTATTGAAGATGAGATACTTCTATGCTTCAAACTGTGAACATGTAAACCTTTTCATGCTTGATAAACCTAGTAGGAACTCGATAATAGGTATATGTATATGTAAGTTCCAAACAGGTTAAGATCGAGAAGCATGAGAATCAAACACATGTTACATTCTCTGTCAACATCAGGTATATGGTAAGCAACACTAATCCATTGGATCTTAGTAATATGAATATGTTTACCATGTGATATGTAGAGACTAATTGAAAGATATGTCTTGTTTATAAGTAATGAAAGCAAATGAATACTTGGTTAATTTTCTTAACAGAAGAGATGATGAACTGTTTGTTGAAAGTCTTTTCTATCACAGGGTATGTGGCTAAGCGTTCATCATTTATGAAGGTATAGATCTAAAAATGGAACCTAGTTCCAGTAATTGTTGATGTTTGTTGCAGGAACACAGGATTGACAACAAGTTTCCAACTTTGAATCATGAAAGACACGGAGAAAACAAAGTTATATGCTAATGGTCTTTGCAGGTTCTTTGGAATAGTTTTCAATGTCTCTTGCTACATCATCAACACTGAAGCAATAGATCTTTGATGAACAAGACACCCTATGTTCCACTTAGGGATGTTTGATGATATAAGTTCCAAGGCGATTTATCCATAAACGCCTAGACTAGTAAAACATAAAGAGTCAACACTATCATGGTTAATGTGCAATAAATGAACATATTTTGAGACTGACAGGTTTGTTCCCATCAAACAGGTTATAAAAGATGAACTCATGTGTTCTTGAAGAACTAACGGAGTTCCTAATAAAGAAATATGTCACTAAGGATAACAGCAAGGGCTAGCTACATATGTTGAGGAACTTTGAGATGTTAAGTTCAAACTCATGCAACAAAGGTCAATGAACTCAATACAAGAAAGCAAGTTCCAACAAAGTTCCAGAGCTAAGATAATATTTGTTCCGACCAGCAATATCTCAACAAACTATGGAACTAAAGTGTTTTTCATGCATATATATAACCAAAGGGAAAACCTCAACAACCAAGGATCTGAGAAGAGCCCGAGATATCAATCGAAAAGGATGGACTTTATAACTCATAGTTGTATAAAAGATAAGTCTGTTTTTAAGGTTGATGTAAACATGTAATTGGTTGTTATCAGGTTAGATGTGCAGCAGGAACTTAATAAGCTTAAAAAGAAGAAGATGCATGTCACATCCTGAACCTATTCTAGAACACCTAAAAAGGGTCGGAGATTAAAAAAGGTGTTCTGGCAAAAGCTTGTTGAGTAAGGCACGTGAATGGAACAAGGCCAGGTTGGTTCTTAAAAGAAACAACCAATACAAAGGTATGTATTGTCTTTAAGGAACTTGTTGCGTGTGTAGCTAGACTTGAAGCAAATTGAATAATATTTGTTCTTGCTGTTTATATGGGATTAGAGTTGTACCACATGGATGTCATGTATGTCTTGATATGAATTTTTGTAGACGTCTATGTGGAACATACTCTAGGATAGAATCCTATCCAAGTTCCTTCTTGAAAATTGAGTTTTAAAAGTATCAATTTTTGTTTTCAAGATTAACTGAGTTATTATTAGTACTTGTTTACATTGATATATCTCTGGTACTACTAACGAGCCATTGTGAATTGGTTTTTGCTAATTTATGATAAGAAAATATATTTGTAAGATTAACCACTGACAATGGAACTTGAGTTAGAAGTGGAAGTTCATATTAGATTCGAGATCATCAAGGAACATAACAACCACTTCAAGAACTCCAAGGTAAGCCATCATACTCAACCAATGCTTTAAAGTTATATTTTTACTGGTAAGAGACTACATAAGATATAAGTTCCTTTTCACATGTCGGCATTAGATGAATTGAATTAATATTTTTTTGGTATGAATGCAATATGTGAATTTGTGAATTGATTCTCTTATGGTCTTGTCTTGATTTGTCATATTCTTGTTTATTGCTTAATGGAACAAGACTTGATGAAACATAACACGAGTATAAAGTATTTTTTCCCATAAGTTATGTCAAGCTGGGGTTCCTATGTTATACTTAAAGTAAAGAATATGCGCTTATTTTTTATGTGTCACACTTAGTTCTTGTGTTGTAAAAGACATACTCACTTGCCTAAGAGTATTAGAGGTCTCATAATAGAACTATGGGTGCTGTCAAACACGAAGTTCCTAAGTTGTCAAAGGAACAATGGAAGAAACTTTGATGGAACAAGACAGGTAAGTTCCCAGACCGTTTGTAACTCACTTGTTTAAATTTCAGAGGGAACTAACCTATCTTTTAGCCAACTTTCAAGCATCTACGCCATATATCTTCGATCGCAACATTATTCTACAACTCTAAGTTGTGTGTCCGTGTTGCATATACTTTAATTGTCCCATATTTAGAAAATCGAAGATTCTTATTAACCCAATTCAATTTCCTCTTTCCGTTCACACACTTTTACTTTTTATTCTTAATTCCCATGTGCTCTAAGTTTGTTCACCATCTTTTTATGGTTCAATGAAACGTGAAAAAGGGTGATTACATGTTGAGGGGGAAGTTGAAGAAAAAGAAAGAAGTAAGTACTTGAAAAGGAAGAAGAATGGTAAGGGACTCAGGGGGAATAAGGTAGGAACCAAGAATTCAAAATGGTTCAGATCTGGTTGTGGAACTCAAGTGTATGAGTAAATATTCTCTTCATTAATTTAAAATGTGTTATACTAGGAAATCATGCAAAATTTGTGTAATGACACCCTTTGAAAAAAAAAAGAGAAAGAAAAGGAAAAAGGGTGGTCAAATATTTAATTTCCTGGGTATCTATATATGAAGAATGTTGACTATGTTGATGTCGTGTACTCGTATACTTGGTGAGCTAGTGAAGGAACAATAATAAACGACGAAGGAACTTGATTATGATGAAACTGAAATCTATTTAAGTTCCAGTATGGAGAATGTTCCTCAAAGAAGTTGGTGGTTAAGGTAAGGGAACTTGGTTATCAATTGGCAAGATGAATATGTGTTGTGTTCAATAGGAGATTCAAGAGTTTGAGATAAAGTACAATGTGGCGGTTCTCATCTCAAAAGGTTTAAACGAAGAGCACAAATTCCACTTCACGTTCCCTCTACTTATTTTGTTCCATATGCTTCTTTATATATCCTTTAAGCTTGCGCTTTAATTGGTCTATTCATGCAATCCATTTCTAACTTTTTAGCTCTGATCTTTACTTGAATTTTAACTTCTTATTTGTCAAGTTCAATTAAGGGTTTTGAAGTTGGGCCTTTGGATTGTGAGTTGGAAGTTAGTGTGGAAATGGTATCCGTGTTTGAAAAGTGAGTACCTTGAGGCTTTTAGGAACAACAAGTGTTTAACTAGTATATACTTACTTATTATATGGTGGTAGGTGTGACATATGACTTTAAGTGCATATAAGTTACGAAAAACAAACGTGTGGAACAATACCCTTTTTGATAATGACAAAAGGGGGAAGAATATGTATGATGCTTATGGTATGCAGTAATTAAGTCTAAAGTTATTACATCATGATTGTTGAAAGTATTTATATATTGATAAATGATGTGTATTGCTAAGTTCCTAACTATTAAGTTCTTGTGTATGTTCTTAACTTGTTTAAATGTTATTTCCTTGAAAAACTAAGGGGGAATAAATGTACAACGATTATCCTTTAATATGTGATGAGCATCAATAGTTTGTCATCATCAAAAAGGGGGAAATTGTTGAGCAATTAGGTTTTGATGATTATAAACTAATGATGATTATCTATCTAACGTGTATGTTAAGTTGTGCATAGAAAAAGCAAATTATGCTTGGAACAGGATACAAGGAACCCGAGTAATGACAGGTATATATGTAAGGAACTTGAGCAATATAGGATAAGCAATAGAGGAACAAGAACAACGATAAGTGTTATGGTTGATAAGCATGATGATGGCTAAGGGACCATGAAGGTAACTATGTAAACATGTGTTTACATATGTTAGCTTCATAAGGTAAGTATCCTATACATATATAGGTTATGTATGTGTAGGAGTCTTTTAATTTAGTTTAGTTTTCTTTATTGTTTTTATAAATAAAAAACTAACCTTCTGTTTTACTTTGTTATTCTCAGAAGTTTGCTCAGTTCGTCATCATCAAAAAGGGACAACTTGTTGATCCTTATGAGGTTTTGATGATGATGTTAAGAATTGAGCAAACTTCCATTTAATAAGGATTTTCTAGTGTTGTGATGTTTGCAGGTTCAGTAAGCGTTGAGGGCTGAAGTAGGAATTGAAACAGAGGAACTTTAGAGGATCCATGAGGATACAAGTAAAGTTAGAAGAAGAGTTCCAGAAATGGAACTTCCAGAAGTTTCTTAACAGGAACTTCAAAACGGGTTGTAACGACCTGGTTTCGGTGTAATGCTGGGGAAAACCCTAAGATCCAGAATATATCAAGACTACAGGATTCCAGAACAAGAGTTTCAGAGAAGCAACATGAAGACAGAGAAATAGAAGTATATTGCTCTAGGATTCATGTAAGTATGTTGGACATAAAAGTCGGTCTGGAACAAGTCTATATAGAACCAAGGTGAATTCCAAACAGTCAATGAAATTAGAGTAACTGACTTGTCAGGAACTCAGAGACTGTCAGAGTTCAGGAACCTAATAGGAACTTAAGTATGAACGTCGTTAAAAGTCGGTTTTAATGATATATATATTTACCTTATACGTGCATATCTTTTAGGGATTTGGTTTTACTGAATAAAGATATTTATCTTCTAATAAATCCCTTTTGGAAAAAGATAAGATTGTTTAAAAAGTATTTTAAACAAAAAGATAAGTTTTGAATAAAATCTGATTTTATGCTAAGTTTATCTTATTATTATTGACAGTTTTTATTCTTAACAAAAAGGTATATTTTCGGAAAACTGATTTTTAGAAAATATCTTTTAAACTTATCTTTTCAGAAAATCTATCTTTTTCAAGATGAAATGAATAATTCGAGTGTACTATAAATATGCTCATATGCATTCATTCAAAGTAGAGGCTGACGAAGTGTAGTGGTCGTGCTTAATGGTTTTATCCTTCACCACGAAGCTAAGTCAGTCCTCCTGGTCAAAGTTCCTATCAGGTTTTTGGTTACAATACGTCTAGTGAGTTCCAGACAGATCTTGAGTGTTCAACATATTAGTTTTATCTCTTTATTCATAGATATGTATTTAGGGATATTCAGTGAACTCTTGTAATGGGGAATTAATAAGGGTTTGAGTGAACTCTTGTATTAGGGTGAGAACTTGAGTGAGTTCTTTGTATGTAGAGAAGGCTTTGAGTGAAGCTTGAGAGAAAGAGAAAGAGTAAGGTTTTGAGTGAAGTCTTGAGTGAGAAGAGAGGTCTTTGAGGGAAGATTTCAAGCTGCAACTATTAGAGGGAATAGTTGTTGGGGATATGAGTTCGTTGAGGAACTCGGTAGAGGCTCAAGTTCCTCATAGGTTGTAACAGAGTCGTTGGCCTATTTTAGTGGAATGTTTTGAGTCAAAATCCCTTTGGGTCGAGGTTTTTCACTTCCTATTTGGCCTAGGAAGTTTTCCTCGTAAAATCTCTCTTGCACTATTTCTCTATTGCGTTAAGTTTCTTTTAATTCCGCAAAAAGTGACTAGCAATCTCCATACTACAATTCACCCCCCCTCTTGTAGTATATCATCCGAAATAACAGTGGAATACGATGATTTCCTGCTATGCTCATAGTGGTGATCATCAGGAAGCTTTGAGAATATTTGAAATGATGCAAGAGGATAATTCTCAAGCTAATGAATTTACTGTGGCAACTGTGCTCTCTATCTGTGGTAGCCTGGGAGATCTAGAATGGGGTTTGAGACTCAAGAAGTATGTTGATGATAATAATATGTTTTCTAACATGATAGTGTCGACTGCATTAATGGAGATGTTTGTAAAATGTGGGGCTGTTCCTGAAGCTCGGCAAGTGTTTGATCGCATGAATGAGAGGGATATTATTACGTGGGGTTCTATGATTGCTGGTTATGCCCAAAATGGAAGCGCTATTGAGGCTTTGGAACTGTTCAAATGTATGACAAATGAGAAAATTAAGCCAAATGATGTAACTCTGGTAAGTGTCTTATCAGCTTGTGCTCAATTAGGTTCTGTAGAAACAGGTGAACAGATTAAAAAGTACATAGAAACTGAAGGGTTGGACTCGAACATGTATGTTGCTTCGTCATTGTTGTGTATGTATTCGAGGTGTGGAAGTATAAAGAAGGCTTGGCAAGTCTTCAATCAGATGCCTGAGAAAGATGTTGTATCCTGGAACTCTATGATTACCGGGCTTGCTTTTAATGGTTATGCTAAGGATGCTATTATTCTTTTCGAAAGAATGATAAAAACCAATGTTAGGCCAGATGGTGCTACATTTGGTTCACTACTAACAGCATGCACCCATGCTGGCCTAGTTGACCTGGGTCTTAAACTCTTCCACAGCATGCATTCAGAGTATGATATTGTCCCTGAAGTGGAGCATTATGCATGCATTGTTGACCTATTTTGTAGATGTGGAAGACTTAATGAGGCTTATGAATTCATATGTCAGATGAAGAAGCCAAATGTTGTAATTTGGGGCACGTTACTTAGTGCTTGCAGAATTCATTCTTATACTGAGCTTGCGGAGGTAGCATTGACAAAGTTGCTAGAGTTGGAACCTGAGAATTCAGGCAATTATATCCTTCTTTCAAACATATATGCCCATAAAGGAAGATGGCAAGACAATCTAAGAATAAGAAACACGCTGAGAGAGAAAAAAGTACAGAAAATTGCAGCATATAGTTGGATCGAACTAGAGGATGGGATGCATAGATTTCTAGTTGCTGACTCATTGCACCCTAGATGTAGTGAGATCTATGATGTGGCTGTTGGCTTGGCTATGGTTTCATCGGATGAGACGGAGAATTATTTTGAATATTAGCTTATATCAATTTTGAAGATTGGAGCACCCATCAGCAAAGCTTGATTGGAGATTGTACAGCTTTGATATTGTAAGTTTTAATTACACTTTTGTTAAGCAGCCTTTATAATGAAATAAAGTACTTATAGCTTTTTATTTTCTGAAGTATGGTTATTTCTTATGGTTTTTATTTTTTTCCGTGGTGGTGATGGTGGGATATGGTAGGCTTCTAGGTGTTTCTTCACTTTGATTAATTAGTTCAGTTGGTGGAGCTTTGGCTTAAGTTTTCTAAAGTTAAACAGTACTTATATGCCTATACGGCATTGGTATATTACCAATTTACCACTGCTCCAATCAAATATACGTATAAAGTTTTGTAGCTGTAACATTTTATTACTGGAACAGTTCTGGGTTCCGAGAAGCATGAGTGCAATTGTGTACAATTTGCAAGTAATTTAATAGGATGGTCAAAGCATCAGCGATAGACTTCAAGATATGTCTGTTTTTTCCACATAATTTGCACGATTTTTACTCTCACATAGTCAATTCGTCAATTCAGGAGAACAACGGTTAAGTATGGACTTGTAATGTATGAGATATTGTGCACACATACCTAGATAATTTACTTGCCTTTTATGTCTGTATTACGTAATGTATCATGGCATTCATAATTCATTCTCTCTCCATTTGTCTCTTCTTATGAAGCGTTAAAACATCAGATAGTGAATCAGCAATCTGATGTTTTGTATACATTTATTTTCTATTAATATCCTTCTACCCAGGTTGCTTTTTAAGTTACTTTACAAAATCATATGGTTGCTTTTGAAGTTAGATATAGTAGATCCAATTTTTTGAGCCCAACTGTTTCTTGTTAGGACAAAATAGAATTCATATTTCTGGAAAGAGATGATACCAAGCAATTTAAAGTTTAGACAGGGGATATAGGATGAGGTTTTCTGTCAGCTTTCATTCATTTAAACTTGATTGTGGCATTTTTATGTGACTTCCCTGCTACAGGTTTTGACATATTGAATTAGTTCCTGAAGGAAGCTGTCTAAGCAAAATTTTTGGAGATGATATAAGAGATTATGGTCTACTCTGATGAGGTAAATTTCATTTAGCTTGATAACTTGCTCTTCTGCTGCATGTTAATTTACAAGTTTTGAGAATTTGTTTTATTGCACTTCAAGTCTTCAAGTTTTCCCCAACTTAAGTAGAGATTTTATTTCATCATAATATGTTGTTGGTTTAGTTACCCATTGCATATTAAGAGTGATAAACTATCTCTTATCTAGAAGTTCAAAATTTTAGGGAGGATGATTTAATAATTCTAAGGCGATGAATATTCCTTAATTTGACATAGATTGGTGGCTATAGGTATATAAATATATTTCCTGATCTGAGGTTCTTAACATGGAATCAACTAAATGATGTACCATTATGCGAAGACCATTATGTAACAAATCACCTATTATAGTTCCTTTTTTGAAGAATGGGGTTTTATCTTTTATGTGAATATGGTGGGTTTGGGAAGTGTTACAGAATAAAGGTGAAAATCAAAGTCCTTCCATTATAAATCAAATATTTACAAGGGGAAAAAAAAAACTATCTTCTAACCTTCTTATCTATTTTCTGTTTTCAAACATATGATACAAAATTGAATACAAGTGTTCTTGTTTGATAAATCTGAGTTAATTTTCAAAGCTAAAATAGGAAAATCTGACTTTAATTACTAGGTAAAAGATACATCAGAAACTTGGCTAGGATGAATGACAATTCCTTGAAGTTCTGTAGCTGTTGACTTGGGGATATTTAAATTTAGGCCAGAAGGTATAGGTTTCTCGGGTGAGTGGCCCAATATTTCAGGAGCACCTGAATCATCTTCTCCCCAGTACACTTCCACCATAGTTCCCTGCGGATTCTCAGCAGACTCTGTTCCTGGGATCCCAACAAACCTTGCTCCCATGGGTATCTGCATGTACATTGTCAGTTAAAATAGGGAACAATTCACTAGTAAAGCCTGCCTGGTTTTTCTCCTTGAAAGTATAGTATTCTAAAGGGTTTATGTTAGCATAATGTGCTTACCTGTATCGAGGCACCAGATGTCAGACTCAGAGTTACGAATCTTTCCTCTGATGCAGCACTTTCCATCTCTTCCTGTTTAGCAATATTAAGAAAAACTTCTTCTAGAGTTGCAAGGCCAAGCTGGATATCTGTTATACCAAATTCACTTTGTCTATCTTGGACCTCACCAAAAGCTTTCTGAATTAATCAAAATCATGGATAAGAATTAGAATAGGGATATGAGTTCATCATCCGTACTTTAGAATTCTTCTTGCTAAACATGTATGTAGGGTAGATGTCAGCATTCTATGTTCTATGACGACTAGTCGGGCTTGCTGAGTGTTTACCTTTAATAGTGGCTCTTTTTCATGGGGAATTATGTAGGTAGTATATAACTTAGTCTCCTCTATGGGCTCAACATCCAATTGCTGCCATGGTAGCATCAAATAGCATGTTAAGAGTGCAAAGTGCGAAACAATGGGTGGGTTGAAGAACATTTTGGATCTGGAAAGCTACTCTAGTCCAACTTAGCGACTTACCCTTTTAAACAACTGCTTCAACTCCTCTCGGCTTCTGTCACCTGTTTCGCCTACATTTTTGTCGAAGTTCATATTAGCAACAAAGCCTGTCCCAAATCGCATTTTTAATCGAATTGGTGTTCCTATACAACGTAGTCTTCCTTTTGCCATGATCCCTATAAGATCACTTAGAACATCTGCTTCTTCCATTGAGTGAGTTGTTAGAACAATGGCTCGCCCTCTTTTTGAACTTTCTATGATGTCCCAGACATGTCTTCTAGTAAGTGGATCCATACCAGTAGTCTAAAAACTCAAATATTAGCCCACTATACTGACTGTAGTTACCTGTTCTTGTGGAATTTGAACAAGCAGGAAATAGAAGCTAGGCCAGAAATAATTTTTTTTTTAAAAAAACTCCTGTACCGGTTCATCAAGAATCACCAACTTTGGGTCACCAATAAGGGCTGCTGCAACACTGAGACGTCTTCTCATGCCTCCACTATAACTACCAGACCGGACTTTAGCTGATTTAGCCAGCTGCACATCTTCTAGTAATTTGTGAACAATCTGGTTGTGATCAAAGCTTTAGACAAAGGTTCTTAATAAAAAATGAGAAGAGGGGGGGGGGGGGGGGGGGGGGGGGGGGGGGGGGGGGGGGGGGGGGGGGAGGAGGTGAGTTGGGTACATGGAGGTTCAATCAATTTCATGATACGTATATACATAGCTTATAATAACAAATTACTAAGCAAAAAACAAAAGAAATATTACAGACATTTTGGCAACAATAATGTGATTAATAATTTAATACAACATAGTCAACATTTAGTAAGAAAATTTGTGAGAGATTTTACATATTAGTCTTGAGTTATTGAAGCATTTATATGAACTTGGATACTTCGGTGGATGTTAAAAAATCTTTTTACTTAAAGCTTTTAAATCTTCAGCTAATTGATATCAGTTTTCATATGAATGCTTATGATCTTTTTTGTACACAAAGATGAGATATGTCACAAAAAACTTTGATCTATATTGCTATATTGGGTACTTACTGTTGGGATGGAATCAGGATTTAGGCCTTTTATGTTGCAAAAAAGTTCAAGGTGCTCTTCACCACTTAATACACTCCAGAGGATATCAAACTGCAGGATTTTATTGGATGTAAAAAAGTCAGTTTATTTATCCTCAAGAATGTAGCAGTAGAAACTAGAAAGTGAAAGAGTTTAAACATTTACTAGGATTGTTGAATTGATAAACATAAAATACAAAGGAGAAGAGGATTTAGAAAAATACCTGAGGACATACTCCTATAATTTTTCGGATATTGGACATTCCAACAGAACTTCGAACGGAATGATCATAGATTAATGCTGTCAGCCATATGATGTCAGTCAAGTGATTATAGGTGTGTATAAATAAGGAATTGGAAGAAGCAAGGTTATGAAATTAATAAAGCTATATTACCGTCCCCTCCACTCACTGGTGTTATACCAGTCAAGCAGCTGATAGTTGTGATCTTTCCAGCCCCATTATGCCCCAGGAGGCAAAAGAGCTGATCTTTAGGGAAGTTGACCCATAAGCCCTACAAAATATGAGACATGAAGCAAAAAATAGAAAATTTAAAATGGTAGCTACCTTTTACATTTCCACAGGATTTAATTTTTTGTTTTTGGAAAATAATATAATGTTATTAGGCAACACCCCCCCCCCCCCCCAACAAAGACATGAAAGATAGAAGCTCAATAAGAATGTGCATGCTTCTGTATGACTCAGGAACATAATTGTTTTGGATGGGAAACTGAAGTATCCATCACTCATGTTTAGATGTGAAAACAGGGAGGGAAGAAGAGACTGGGAGGAACCGTATCTCTCTAGTTAGGAGTATTTGGAAGAAAATTGCAGTCCCACTTCTCTCCCCTCTTTCTTTCTGTCATTTAATTTATTATCCATGATTGATGATATTTGTTATATAGATGAAATGCTTCAAGAGGGGGGGGGGGTTTAAATTTAGTATGAAACTTGCTAGTCACTTTTTGTACAATTTAAAGGAACTTAACACTAGTAAAGAAACAATGCAAGGGAGATTTTACGATAAAAACTTCCCTTAGGCCTAATAGGATGTGAAAAACCTTGACCCCAAGGAATTTAGACTCAAACTTCCCAGTCAATTAGGCCAACTACTTTGTTACAACCTATAAAGAACTTGAGCCTCTAATGAGTTCCTCAACAAACTCATGTTCCCAACAACTATCCCCTTTAATAGTTGCAGCCTTGCAGCTCTAGAACTTCCCTCTGTCTTGAATCAAGACTTTACTCTACTACAGTATACTTCCAAAGTACCTTAACAGAATGGAATGGAGGAGATATCTTTAACTTCTTATCCAGTTTTCCTGGGTAAGTCTTGACTAGGCCGCGTATCTGAACTGCTACATCTGGATCCACCTTACCATCATCCATAAATTTTTTTATCTTGTTTTCTTCTTTAAGGACATCTTCATCATCTGGCGTGATCATCTCAGGTTTTGGAAGCCAACTTGTACCGCCAAAAAAGCCACTGTCTGAAACATTAAAAATTAAGTTGATGGATGAAGTATTATAAGTAGCAATTCACAACAAATCACTACCTCCGTCCTATAATAACGTTCATCTTCTTCCTTTAATTTTCACATTTCACTTAAATAGTTAAATCATTCCCAAAATCCCAAGCTGTTCAATTCACAACAAATCACTACCTCTGTCCTATAATAACGTGCTCACTTTCCTGTTTAGTTGGTCTGAAATTAGTTTGCTCCTTTTTATAAAAGCCATTGATCCACTATTGTATTACCACTCTCCTTCCACAACTAAAAGACATTGCTCATCACTGCCTTGGTAGCCTGCTTACTGCACACAGTTGATTTAGAAGGTGTGCCATGTCAGCAATCCGAAGACTCAAGCATTCTTGCCAAGTCATCAATCCGAGCATAGCATTACGAGTCAGCTGGAGTTCTAACAAATTCTGTTATGCAATATAACAGAATTTGTCCTGTTCTGTAACAAACTTGTTGTGCGACAGCGGAAGCAAAGGTCGTAAACAAACAAGAAAACAATAAAGAAATTCAATGCAAACAATAAGAACAACACCAAGAATTTACGTGGTTCACTATCGATGTGATAGCTACGTCCACGGGCACCGAGATCGAATGATTTCACTATAAACTGCAAAGATTACAAAGATGATTCTTGTATTTCTCAAGAACGGCTCTCACTCTCTCTCTCTTAACCCTAATACTAATATTAGGGAGGTTTTATATTAATCCCTAAAATAAAAGATACTTGGGCAAAAAGATAACATAAAAGATAACTTTAAATCGTAAAATCCGCGTCTCCGCATTTTTCCTTCTCCGCCCGGTCAGACCGGGCAAGGTCTGCCCGATCGGGCGCGAGAAGAAAACTCCATACGAATGCTTCAACGTATCCAACCCCCACCGCCCGGTCAGACCGGGCAAGGTCTGCCCGATCGGGCGAAGGCTCGCCCGGTCGGGCGAAGGCTCGCCCGGTCGGGCGCGAGAGCAGCTTCTTCAACGAATTTGCCAGGCACCTCTTCTTCTTCCGCCCGGTCAGACCGGGCAATGTCCGCCCGATCGGGCGGACAAAGCTACGAAGTACGAGTCACCTAATATACTTATCAACAATCTCCACCTTGACGAGAACTCGTAGTCAGCAAACGACCCCATCAAGACATAGTGAAAAAACATCTCAAGCCAAACCCGATGCAGGACTCATGCATAAGCCATACATCCCGATAAGTCTTCAACCAAGACCCATCACATACTCGTCTCCAAGTATAACAACTCATAATGCTCCACCTGCATCACAAGCCCCGGGCAAGCTCCACCTTAATGCCAACACACCTACACCAGGAGCTCCCCAACTTCGCCCCTCAGGGCCTACTACATCACGTAGTAATCAATATTTAGCAAGTCTAAGCAATGTTTAAACTTGCTAAACGGAACAGGCTTAGTGAAGAAATCAGCCGGGTTGTCAGCAGTCCCAATCTTCTTCACCTTAATCCTCTTGTCAGTACGCAAGAAATGATACCTGACATCAATGTGCTTCGTCCGATCATGGTGTACTTGATCTTTAGCTAAGCAAATCGCACTTAGACTATCACAATACACTGTAGCAAAATCCTGTGCAATACCCAGTTCACCTACTAGGCCTTTGAGCCAAATAGACTCCTTAGCTGCAGAAGTTAGAGCCATATACTCAGCTTCAGTAGTTGACAACGTAACTGATGACTGCAATGTAGACTTCCAACTAACCACAGAACCACCCAAAGTGAACACATAACCAGTCACAGACCTCCTGGTATCCACATCAGCTGCATAATCAGAATCACTGTACCCAGTGACCAAGCATTCCTTACCATTCCCGTACACAAGACCAATATCAGCTGTCCCTCTCAGGTAGCGAAAAATCCTTTTCACCCCTTGCCAGTGTTCCCTCCCAGGTCGAGCCATAAACCTGCTTACAACACTAACAGCATGCGCAATATCCGGCCTAGTACAGACCATAGCATACATCAAACAACCAACCGCGTTTGCATATGGAACTCTAGACATATAAGACAACTCCTCCTCTGATTGAGGTGACATAGACAAAGACAACTTACAACTAACAGTAGTTGGCGTACTTATAGGCTTCGATTTTTCCATCCCAAAACGAGACAGAATCTTTTCAATGTAGCTTTTCTGAGTCAAGAAAAGCTTACCTCTAGCCCGATCCCTGTAGATCTCCATACCCAAAATCTTCCTAGCTGCACCCAAGTCTTTCATGTCAAACTCCGAGTTAAGCATCTCCTTTAATCTAGCAATATCAGATTTATTCTTTGTGGCAACCAACATGTCATCAACATATAACAAAAGATAAATCATGGAACCATTATCCAGCTTACTATGATACACACAGCAATCATATGAATTCCTGTCAAAACCTTGTGAAACCATAAAAGAATCAAACCTTTTGTACCACTGTCGGGGGATTGCTTAAGTCCATACAATGACTTTAGCAATCTGCAGGCATAGTGTTCCTTTCCAGGAACTTCGAATCCTTCGGGCTGCTTCATCAGAATCTCCTCCTCCAAATCGCCATGAAGGAAAGCCGTTTTAACATCCAACTGCTCCAGCTCAAGATCAAAATGTGCTACAATTGACAATAACACACGGATAGAAGTATGTCGAACCACAGGTGAGAATATCTCAACAAAGTCAACCCCTTCTACCTGACTGAACCCCTTAGCAACTAGCCTAGCCTTAAAACGTATTTGCTCAGTTTCCGACAACCCTTCTTTCTTCTTGTAAATCCATTTACAACCCACAAGCTTCCTCCCTTCCGGTACCTTTACCAGTTCCCACACTCTGTTCTTGTAAAGAGACTGCATCTCTTCACCCATTGCGGCAAGCCATTGCGCAGACTCACTACAACTAATTGCTTGTTTATATGTGGCAGGTTCAAATGACTCTACATCATCAGCTACACTCAATGCATAACCTGTCATCGCATCAACACAGCAATTTCTTCCCTCCATCTCTTCAATCAATCTAACAGGCTTCTTGATAACTCGTTTAGGCATCTCAAGAATGGTGTCAGGTTGACTAGATGACCCCTGATTAGATTGCTCCACCTCATCCCCAGAGTTAGAATGAGTAGGAGTAATCTCAGGTTCAGGAGTACCCGGCACTGGAACATCAGCATCATCATCAATATATTGTACCCGAGGTAAATCAGCAATGGTAGACTGATGTACCTCAAGTACCCCATCTGTCTGTAATAAATTGTCTCCTTCCCTTCTCAAATCTGAAATCTCTGCATTTTTAATTGAATACATGGTGTTTTCATCGAAAGTAACATCCCTACTAAGAATGACCCGACCCTCCGAAGGTGAAAAAATTCTAAACCCCTTCACACCATCCCCGTACCCAACAAAACACCCCTTCTTGGCTCGTGGATCCAGCTTACCCTCAATAACATGATAATAAGCAACACAACCAAAAATCTTCAAATTCGAAAAATTAGGCAGCTTACCACTCCAGATCTCAAACGGAATTTTGGAATCAATTCCAGAATGAGGACCCCTATTAATGACATAACAAGCTGTTAACACAGCTTCACTCCAGTACCTCCTCCCAAGCCCTGCATTAGAGAGCATGCATCGAACTCTCTCTAGCAGTGTCTGATTAACCCGTTCTGCTACACCGTTCTGCTGTGGTGTCTTCCTGACAGTATGATGCCGACCTATACCCTCATCTGCACAGAACTGATTAAACTCGTCTTTGCAAAACTCTAGCCCATTGTCCGTTCGTAGCTTCTTGATCTTCCTTCCTTGTCGATTTTCCACCAAAGCTTTCCATTGCTTGAAAACTTTGAAGGCCTCATCCTTTGACTTAAGCAACCTAAGCCATGTGTATCGGGACTTGTCATCAACAAATGACACAAAATAGTGGTAACCTCCCATACCTTCAACTCTAGATGGACCCCAGCAATCTGAATGGATGTAATCGAGCACTGCATCAGTAATGTGAGCACCCTTGCTGAACTTTGACCTGTGTTTCTTACCAAACACACAATGCTCACAAAATTCAAGGTTGGCAACCTTGACCCCGGATAGAAGACCCCTCTTGGACAATAGCTGCATCCCCTTCTCCCCCATATGACCAAGCCTCATGTGCCAAATCTTAGTCATCTCCTGGTGAGATACAGATGCGCAAACCGCAGAACTAGGCAGTGTAACACCCTCAAAAACATAGAGGGTGTTCCTTTTGATACCCTTAAGTACCAACTCAGAACCTCTGAAAATACACAACTCCCCATCTGAAAACACACCATTGTACCCCAATTCATCCAGGGTACCCAATGAAATCAGATTCTTTCCTAAAGCAGGAACATGCCGTACATTAGTCAAAGTTAACCTCCGCCCATCAACAGTCCTCAACCTCATGGAACCAATACCTGTGACCTTACATGGAGCATTGTTACCGACTATAACCATACCCCCATTGCGAGGTTCATATGTATCAAACCAATCTCGACGTGGACACATATGGAACGAACACCCCGAATCTAGAACCCAGTTATCAGATAAATCATCAGACCTAGCAGAACTGACTAATGCTAAATCTTCCTCTGAATTATAGCTCTCATTCGGTTTCTCTTCAACTACAGCAGCCTGGGACTTGTTTTTCCTCACCGGACAATTATTCCTAAAGTGACCCGGTTCTTTACAGTAATAACATGTTTTAGTAGTAGTTTTACTAGATCCATCCTTGCCGTTTCCAGCACCCGACCCAGCATTGTTCCCCTTGTTAAACCCCTTATTCTTTTTAGACTTTCCGGACTTAACAAATAACCCACTACCATTATCCCCATTATCACTCGTAGCTTTCATTCTGAGTTCCCTAGTATGAAGTGCTGCCTTCACTTCTTCTAAGGTTATAGAATCCTTACCAACAACAAAAGACTCTACAAAATTCTCAAAGCTAGACGGTAGAGATACAAGTAAAATCAACGCAGCATCCTCATCATCAATTTTAACATCTAAATTACGTAAATCAAGCAAAATAGAGTTAAGTTTTTCTAGATGTTCCCGTAAGGAAGTACCTGACTGCATCCGGAGGCTAAACAACCGCTGTTTCAGTAATAATTTGTTGGTCAACGACTTAGTCATATACAATGACTCCAGCTTCAGCCACAATCCAGCCGCCGTTTCCTGATCAGCAACCTCCGTGATGATTTGATCATCAAGACTAAGTAATATGGTAGAGTGTGCCTTCTCTTCCATAACTTCTAACTGCGAGTCAGTCGGTCCGTCTCCTGACTCCGAAGTAGTACTCTTTGGAGCCAACGGACGCCATATCTGCTGTTGTTTTAACAGAGCCTTCATCTTAATTTGCCATAGCCCGAAACTATTTTTCCCGGTAAACTTCTCAATTCTTATTGTTGAATCTCCTGCCATTGTTATCTTCAAGAAACTCTCCAAGGATTGAACCTGAGCTCTTGATACCAATTGTTGTGCGACAGCGGAAGCAAAGGTCGTAAACAAACAAGAAAACAATAAAGAAATTCAATGCAAACAATAAGAACAACACCAAGAATTTACGTGGTTCACTATCGATGTGATAGCTACGTCCACGGGCACCGAGATCGAATGATTTCACTATAAACTGCAAAGATTACAAAGATGATTCTTGTATTTCTCAAGAACGGCTCTCACTCTCTCTCTCTTAACCCTAATACTAATATTAGGGAGGTTTTATATTAATCCCTAAAATAAAAGATACTTGGGCAAAAAGATAACATAAAAGATAACTTTAAATCGTAAAATCCGCGTCTCCGCATTTTTCCTTCTCCGCCCGGTCAGACCGGGCAAGGTCTGCCCGATCGGGCGCGAGAAGAAAACTCCATACGAATGCTTCAACGTATCCAACCCCCACCGCCCGGTCAGACCGGGCAAGGTCTGCCCGATCGGGCGAAGGCTCGCCCGGTCGGGCGAAGGCTCGCCCGGTCGAGCGCGAGAGCAGCTTCTTCAACGAATTTGCCAGGCACCTCTTCTTCTTCCGCCCGGTCAGACCGGGCAATGTCCGCCCGATCGGGCGGACAAAGCTACGAAGTACGAGTCACCTAATATACTTATCAACAAAACTTTTAGTTTGTTATTAGTTTTGTAATATTCTAGAAAGCTGTATTACAGTTGTATAAATTCATAGCTAGTGACTCTGATGTTAGCTAATGAATTCATTTCTAATTTTCTGGAATTAATAAAAATTCTCTCCTCTTCTTCTCTCTAAAATGCCTTCTAATTTTTGTACTGAATTCTCTCAATTTAGAGAGAATTAACATGGTATCAGAGCATTAGAGATCTGCTTTTCGATTTGATTTCCGCATTTTTCATTTGATTTGTTTTGAAAATTACAAAACAATTTGATTCTGATATTTTTTTTTATTTTGATTACTCAAGAAGAGTATAATTTCTGTCCTAAATTCGAGCTCAAGAAGAGTTCGATTTCATCTACTTTGATAAAGTTTCAAGAGGAATCTGTTGAATTTCTACTCATCAATGGCAGGATCAAATGTTCTACCATTGATGCAAGATCCTTCAAGCGTTTATTTCATTCATCCTTCAGAAAATCCAGCAAATCCTCTGGTTTCTGAGAAGTTTAATGGTGAAGGTTATTCTGAATGGAAGAGAGGTATCATTTTGGCTTTGGCAATTAAAAATAAGGTCTGTTTCATTGATGGATCCTTACCTCGACCTTCTGATGTTACTAGTTCTGAGTATAGAGCTTGGGATAGATGTAATTCCATGGATATGTCTTATTTGCTTAGATCTTTAGACACAGGTCTAGCTAAGAGTGTGTTGTTTCTTTCAACTGCTAGAGAAATCTGGAAAGATCTTGAAGATCGTATTCTGTTACTTCTGGACCTCAATTTTATGGTTTACAGCAGAATTTAAGTGAGATATCTCAAGGTGATAGCAGTATTGCTGATTTTTTCACCAAGTTGAAGGTGATTTGGGATGAACTGAGTAGTGCAAGTCCAATACCAGCCTGTAATTGCAGAGGTTGTACTTGTAATTCGACTCAGCAATTTTTGAAGATTCAGTAAGAAGAAAGGTTGATTCAACTATTGATGAAGTTAAATAACAAGCACAGTTCAGTTAGAACTAATATTTTGATGATGAATCCCTTGCCAAGTATTTCAGTGGCTTACAGACTTCTGATTCAAGATGAGAAACAACAACAGATGACTTTTCAGAATGAAGAAAGAGCAATGGCATTTGCTGCAGCTGAAGGAAGGAATTACACTGGGAATCTTGGTTACAATAAGAATTTTAGGCACAAGTTGGTAATTGGGTCTGATAACAACAAATTTGCTGCTGCACAGAAAAAACAATTACTCTTTTGTGAGCATTGCAAGATTGGTGGACATACTATGAGTAGATGCTGGAAATTACATAGATATCCTCCTAGTTTTGGTAACAAAGGCAAAGTCAAGAAGTTTGCTGCTATTGCTCAAGGAGAGGATGATGATGATAATGTCAGGCATATAACAGCAGACCAATATCAGCAATTCCTTGAATACTGCAAGAAATCTGAAGTTGAGCAAACTGAACAGCATACTGCAAATGTGGCAGGTACTTGTTTAATCACTTGTTCTAATTCAAAATGGATAATAGACAGTGGTGCCACTGATCATATTTGCAGTAACTTAGAGTGGTTTGTTGATTATTCTGTGTTTGATAAAAGTGTCAAAACTATCACTATTGCTGATGGGAAGAAGGCTGAGATAAAACACATAGGTGATGTCAAGATTGGAAATGGTATAATCTTGAAAAATGTGTTGCATGTTCTAGGATTTCAGTTTAATCTGATTTCTACTCATAAGCTATGTAAAGATTTGTCTTGTGATATTATTTTCACACATGATAAATGCATGATTCAGGATCATTCTCAGAGATTTACACCGGTTCTTGGTAAGCTAGATTCTGGCTTATATGCAGTTTCTGATAAAGTTGACATAGAGAATAAGGAGTTCTGTATGGAGAAGGAGTCTGAAGCTCTTGTATCAGTAAATGATGAAGTTAAACTCTGGCATTTGAGGATAGGACATCTTCCTTTTGAGAAGCTACATCTAGTCAATAAAACCCTGCCTACAGTAGGAAAGAATTGTGATGTTTTGTGTCAAGTTTGTCCTAGAGCAAAACAAGCTAGAAAATCTTTTCCTATTAGTGTTTCTAAGACTAGTGAATGTTTTGAAATCATCCATGTAGATGTATGGGGACCATATAGAGTAAAAACTCATGACAATTGTACTTATTTTCTTACAATTGTTGATGATTTTTCAAGGAACACTTGGACATTTTTGATGAGAAATAAAAGTGACTCAGTTGATATTCTGTCCAATTTTATAATCTTTGTTAATACACAATACAATTTGAAGGTTAAGTGTATTAGGACAGATAATGCAAAAGAATTGTGTGAAGGAAGAATTCTAAGTGTTTATCATGGGAATGGGATAAAGCATCAGAAGAGTTGTGCTGATACACCTCAGCAAAATGGAGTAGTGGAGAGAAAGCACAGGCATTTACTTGAGACTGCAAGGGCACTTTATTTTCAGTCTAGGTTGCCTGTCAAATTTTAGGGAGAGTGTTTGTTAACAGCTTCCTATTTAATCAATAGAATGCCCCTGAGTTCTATTGATTCTGAAATCCCATATGAGAGACTTAATAAGGTCAAAGTTGATTACAGTCATTTGAGAGTGTTTGGTTGTCTTGGTTATGTTTCCACACTCAAGACTAATAGGTCTAAATTTGATTCTAAAGCTGTTCCTTGTGTTCTGGTTGGATATCCCCCTAATCAGAAAGCTTACAAAATGCTAAACCTGGAAACCTCTCAGATTATTATTTCTAAAGATGTGAATTTCCATGAAAAACACCTTCCCTTTCACCTTTCCACAACCCTTAACAAACCTGATCCTATTTTTCTACCCTCAAACACAAACCTAAATCTGGATACTTCATTTGAATATCCTGATGTCTTTTCATTTCCTCAAACTGAAACACATTCTGACACTGAAACACAATATAGCATATCTGAAACACATTCTGAAACCATTTCTGAACCTGAAATACAAACTCCAATCAGACAACCCACAGATACAGTCTCCATCCGTATTTGAAACCCTAACACCACTAGACAATCTTCTAGACCACATGTCACCCCTGCCTGGATGAAAGACTATGTCTGTCCTGTTCCACCTGGCAGACATTGGTGTAATATTGTTTATTATGATGAGCTTCCTGTTGCTCAAAAGGTTACTGTGTCTGAGATGGCTAAAGTTGTTGAACCTGTTAGTTTCCTTGAGGCTTCACAAGATCAGAGATGGGTTGAAGCTATGCAAAGGGAAATAGATGCTTTGACAGCTAATCAAACATGGGTGCTTACTGATTTGCCTAAAGGAAAAAAGGCAATTGGCTGCAAATGGGTGTTTAAGGTCAAGTTAAAAAAGGATGGCACAGTTGAGAGATTCAAGGCAAGATTGGTTGCTAAGGGATTTACTCAGAAATATGGGATTGATTACCAGGAAACTTTTTCTCCAGTTGTTAAGTTACCTACTGTAAGGTGCTTAATTTCAATTGCTGTCAGCAATAAATGGGTGATACATCAACTGGACATTAATAATGCATTTCTGCATGGTGATTTGACTGAGGAAGTTTACATGAAAGTTCCTGAAGGGGTGCCTAATCCTGATAACAAAGTCTGTATTTTAAAGAAGTCTCTTTATGGGTTGAAACAGGCTAGTAGGCAATAGTCTGCTAAGTTGACTTCTGAGCTTACTGCTATGGGATATGTTCAATCAAAAAATGATTATTCTTTGTTTCTCAAAGATTCTCAGGCTTCAAAGACCATTATTGCAGTATATGTTGATGATATACTGATTACTGGTCCAGATGATACTGAAATACAGACAGTGAAAAACACTCTTCATCAAAAGTTCAGCATTAAAGATTTGGGTGAGCTGAATTATTTTCTTGGGATAGAGGTGTCCAGGCTTGCTACTGGTGTGGTTCTTACACAAAGAAAGTTCACAAGGGAGTTATTAGCAGACTGTGAACTTGATGTATCTAGAGTTGCTAAAACACCACTACCAGTTTCTATGAAGTTGAGTTCTGATGATTCTGCCCCTTATAGTGATCCTGCTAAGTACAGATGTTTGGTTGGGAAGTTGAATTTTTTGACTTACACTCGTCCAGATTTGTGTTATGCTGTACAAACTTTGAGCCAATATCTACATAATCCTACTGTTTCTCATTTTAAAGCTCTGCATCATCTTCTTAGATATGTGGCTTATACAGCTGCAGGGCATCATGATACAGTCTACTACCAAGCTTGTTCTGCAAGGGTATTCTGACTCTGATTGGGCAGCATGTTCTGATACTAGAAGATCAGTCACAGGGTTTGTTATGCTCTTAGGCCAGAGTCCTATTTCCTAGAAGTCCAAGAAACAAGGGACTATTTCCAAGTCATCTTCAGAAGCAGAATACAGAGCCATGGCAGCTGCTGCTTCAGAAATAACTTGGTTAGTCAGGTTGCTGCAGGAACTAGGAGTTCCTAATTTGGGTCCTATTCAGCTGAAATGTGACAATCAGTCAGCAATCCACATTGGCAAGAACCCAGTTCATCATGAAAGAACAAAACACATTGAACTTGACTGTCATTTTACAAGGGAAAAAGTGCTGGAAGGTTTGATTGGGTTGGTTTATGTGCCAACCAAGGAGCAGTTAGCTGATGTGTTTACAAAAATTTTAAGCATCCCTCAACATAATCAGATTTTGTCCAAGCTAGGCATGATTGATTCTCAATCACCCACTAGCTTGAGGGGGGGGGGGGGTTATTGGAGTATGTACTGCAGCTGCTAGTCAAGATCAGCTCATCACTGCCTTGGTAGCCTGCTTACTGCACACAGTTGATTTAGAAGGTGTGCCATGTCAGCAATCCGAAGACTCAAGCATTCTTGCCAAGTCATCAATCCGAGCATAGCATTACAAGTCAGCTGGAGTTCTAACAAATTCTGTTATGCAATATAACAGAATTTGTCCTGTTCTGTAACAAACTTTTAGTTTGTTATTAGTTTTGTAATATTCTAGAAAGCTGTATTACAGTTGTATAAATTCATAGCTAGTGACTCTGATGTTAGCTAATGAATTCATTTCTAATTTTCTGGAATTAATAAAAATTCTCTCCTCTTCTTCTCTCTAAAATGCCTTCTAATTTTTGTACTGAATTCTCTCAATTTAGAGAGAATTAACACTCTCTCCTTCCGCACTTTTTTTTAGAATAGTTATGCTACAACTTATCACGTAAAACTGTGTAACAAAAGAAAAGGGCATGCTATTATGTAGAGGGCTTATCCCACAAGAAAATTAGTTAAGTTATCCTATACAAGAAGAAAATAGCTATGTGCACATGTGCTAGTGATTAAATTTGGAAAGAAAAAGGGTGTAAGGTCAAATTATGATCGTTATCCTATTAATAATGAACACTCATCCTTTCTTTAGGCTTTTCCTACGGAGTATTATACTGACTGAACTATCTCTCTCTCTCTTTTTTCCAAATAATATTTGTAAATTCCCATTCATAGTGTTTTTTGAAATATATATATGAATATATGATTCTTAGAATAAATGAACTTACCATACTAAGTAGGTTAAGGTACATTGCAAGAAAGAGAACTAGAAAGTTATTCCGCTTGAAGAATCTAAATCGAAAACGCAACCCTATGATCATTGTGAATAATGAAACAAGGAACGTCATTATAATCTCCCATGCGAGCCAGGAAAGCCAGTAGGCAGTATCATAAAGCCCCATGATATTCATTGCCTGTCAAATAAAAACAGTGTTATTATGTCAAAAATGTGTTTTTGCCTCTCAGTTTTAAACTACGGTCATAGGGCAATTCTTGTAATGTCTTTTTTATCATTTCAGGATAGGTGACAATTCTTTTTCGAAAAAGTACAATCAGATATTGTAAAAAAGTCATTGTAATGTCTTTTTTATCATTTAAAGCTATTTCCTTGGCCACTGATTTTTTAATTTTTATATTGAATAATTTCTTGTCCGTAAAAAAGTACAACAAATCATAAACAAGCAATTTGTTAATCATATATAAACTGCTGATCTTTTAAGTTTTTTAATTTTAGGAAGTTGATCGTATCTAAGAGAGGAGGAAATATAGAGACAATACAATTTAAACAATCAGATATTTGCTGGGCTGGTTTAAGATCTATAGGTCATGGAGATTTCAACGCACGGACGTGCCGGCTTTGCTACACAGGCTAATGCTTTGTTTAGAAAGAGTCTTACTTATCAGGTATGTGCTCTCCCTTATTTTATTCATGGGAGCGTCTGCATTACCAGCAACATCATTGGAACTTCCATGATAAATTGATAATGGATGCATGTGACTAGTTTTAAGATAATATGCGCGCCATTTTTGTGTATTATTTTATTAATTATTCTCACATTAATTTAAATTAATATATATATTTTTTTTTAAGGTGAAGTGAATATGGTCTAAGCGTGCCTTTATTTATTTTATATATAAAAATAACATTTTAGTGTACATTTTTCATTTTTGGAAGAGTATAAAAGTTACATGTCATGAATTCAAATGGGAGAAAAATGTTATATCAAGATAATCAGATATCTTCCATTTAGTATAGAATATATCAGATGTAAAGATAAGGCAGAGATAATAATAAGTTAATTAAGTTTTTGAATACACAACCAATCATATTAATGATGAAGGTTGAAAGCAATTTTTTTCCCTCTATTGATGTATTTTTGGTTTTGAGCATTTGATTTTGTAATGCAGAAACGAAATAGGACACAAAACCTCTGCCTTTTAATGACTCCGCTGGTAATAGTAGTATTCTTTGCAACTGTGGAGCATTATATGAGGACATTGACTGAGTCTAGCGAGAGTCTAAGGGAGATGGAGGTAAGGAACCCTGTCCCTTGGCCACCAGCACTGAAAATTCCACCTGAAGCCCAATTCTTCATTCCCTTATCCGACTGGGAAAGGTATCACAATTTCTCCTAGTATTAGTGTGTGTAGATCTTGTATACTCCTTATTGCTTATATTTCAATTTGTTATGTTTTCAGAAGTAAAATGCATGGAAGGATTAAAATTGTGGCGGAACAGCTCATCTGAAATAAACAAGGAAGTATACAAAGGCAACGGAGCGAACAAACAAAACAAGATTGATAACAATTTCGGTGCAGGTAGTATGATTTATTGATTTAACACATTTTTGCTGCTGTAATAGACCTAAATTACTCTAACTCAATATTTTTTTTATATAAGTTAAGACTCCTTAGGTTTCAAAAATTATGAATCAGTTTAATTTTGTTCATAAAATGTGTACTTACATAAAGCAAAAGTAAGATCATCAATTCTTGTATGAGGATAGAAGTCATATAAGATATAACAAGCAAACAACTATACCTAAGAGTATTCTTTTTTTTTTTTTTTAAGATGATAAGTCTTAAGTAGTGATAAGAAATTAAGAATCTATTTTTGTTGGTTTACATTGTGGCAGCACTTGATTTCTCGGATACCAACAAAGCTAACTTCAATGTGACTCTTTGGAGCGAACCAAGTAGAGCTAAATCCGCGTCTTCTTTTAATTTTTCTCGTTTGCCAAGGTTAGTGAATATGGTAAGGCTCCACACATTCTGTTTCCAAAAATTTTACCCTTTGTGTTTAACATCAAGATTGATTGGGTTATCAAGCTTTTCATGCTAACAAACCATAAAAGATCTAAGAATTTTGATTTAGTGGTGCTATTAGCATAGGGTTATGATATTTGATAATTATCAAAAAGTTATAACAGCAATTTATGGTTTGAGGTTTGAACTACAAAGCACATTATTGAGCTGTGGTTTGGTTTCATAAATAATGGAAATTGCACCTAAACTACAAACCGCCCAAAAAAAAAAAGGTTTGGTTTGTGGTTTGGTGCAGTCTGAATACTCTGAACATCCCTAATTTCTTCTCAAACGCTAAATCTAATTGGTAAGATGATGTGCATGTGCAGGCATCCAATGTGTATCTGCAGGCTTTGCAAGGATCTGGTACCCAGATACTGTTTGAGTTCATGAAAGAAGTACCAACCACACTTAGAATAAGTGCTTTGTTAGCAGCAGTTGTGGATTTATTGTTGCGTATGACAACTTTTGGACTACTTCTGTTTCCAGTTACTGTAAGTATGCTAGTGTTTTAAAGAATTACCAGTGGTTATGCTTGAATGCTCCATATATATTTTGTAGACAATGCTACTATGAAGAGTTGTTTCCGGAAGTAGTATATTTTAATAAAAAAAGAGGGCTGGTACACCACACACAAACAGTAGAAAGAAAATTTGCATGATTTTAGTAATTACACTGTATTACAGTTTAAAGATGTGATCAAGTACAATTATATCATTTACTTCTTTGCAGGTGCATCAGCCCTCCTGAAATACTGTATTTTGTGTATGTGGTCTAAACAAACTGACTATACTGCTTAAGCAGATTTCTACATGCTAACTCAAAGCATGGCTTTGTAATCAGGTCTTAGTAAGCTTGATTGTGTATGAAAAGGAAAAAAATTTGCGAATCATGATGAAAATGCACGGACTTTGTGACACAGCATATTGGGCGATTACTTATATATACTGCCTTTTTGTTTCTCTTCTTTTTGTACAATTCTTTCTCATTGCTGGCAAGTTATCAGGTAAGCATATCATCACTTTTCGTTTTGAATCTCACCCCATTCTATGTCTTATTAGTTACAGCAGTAAATGCGCTTAAAATTTTACAGGTTTATATTTCTTCACCAAAAATGACTACATTGTACAATCTATGTTCTATTTCGTCCATGTAAACTGGCAGATTTCATTTGCATTTGTGATTGCTGCTCTTGTGCCTACAGTGAAGACTGCTCAAGGTTTGATTATCACAATTCCATTTACTAATTTGTTTGAATTGTTAATTTCTTCTACTCTATAAGTTATTTATGATCATGCTTGTGTTGTCCCTTTTCAGTGATTTGCTCGACATTCATGATGCTATGTTGTATCATTGCATTTTATGTTGTCACAAAATTTTTTGAATCTTCTGATTTTTCAAGTAAGTAAACTCTACGGGATCTCCATTTCTCTCGGGTATGTATGTGCTCCTTTTTTATGTTAGTACAAGTATAATACATGTTCATCCCGTTCCTGCCTCTAGGAGTGAAACGAAATTCCTAAAAATCAGCTAAGAATGAAATTTCCTTACTTTTGTCATTTAAGTGTTTCAAATAATATGCCTAGAAATAGTTGTCTCAATGATGATCTGTATTGGTTTCAAATTTGTTTACTCAAACTGTGCCTTTTACTCTACCATGTTAGTTGCAGCTGCTAACATAAAACTCAATTTTGAAGCATTTTGATGTTGTACTAAGTATTTGTATAATTCTGATTGTCCAGGTAAAGCCATAGTCTTAGTTGAGATGTTTCATGGGTTTGCACTGTACCGAGGAGTGTACGAATTCCAAAAATATGCTTCATTTGCTAGGAGTGGTGCTGCTGTTGGAATACAGTGGAAGAACTTAAATGACCCAGGAAATGGGTTGAAAACAGCTATGACCATCATGATGGTTGAGTGGAAGGTTATGCTTTTGTTAGCTTATTATCTTGACCAGGTTGTATCCACTGGGAGTGGCAGGACTAAAAGTCCATTATTCTTCTTACACTGCTTGAGAAGGAAACCTAAATTCCCACAGCAAAATATGCAGAGATATACTTCTCAACTATCCTCTTCAAATGATCATAATGATGTGGCCCAAGAGGTATTAATTTTAATTCATATTGATAAGCTTCTTTATCGATGCCATCAGCTGTCAATGATCTGGATTATTGCGCCTTTGTTTTTAAACGAAAAATTGCCTTGTTTAACAATTGCATTTCTGTCTTCTGGCAGAGACAAAAGGTAGAACAATTGATGCAAGAAGGAAGCACAAGCCACACGGCTATCTGTGACAATATCAAGAAGATTTACCCAGGAAGAGATGGAAATCCAGCAAAGGCTGCAGTTAGAGGGTTGTCTCTTGCTTTAGCAAAGTCAGAGTGCTTTGGCATGCTTGGTCCTAATGGTGCAGGAAAAACTTCATTCATCAGTATGGTCAGTACAAATCTACTGTAATACTGTTTATCTATGTTGTGTTTGTAGTATTATCCTTTCAAATGGATGTAATGATAGGATAATGTGTGTCAGATAATATTCTCGAGCCATAATTTTTTATGGGGTTTAACTTCTAATACATCTGAACAGATGATTGGTCTCACAGATCCAACTTCAGGCACTGCATACATTGAAGGTTTAGACATAACAACTTCCATGGATGATGTATACACTTGCATGGGAGTTTGCCCTCAGTTTGAGTAAGTGTGAATATTGCCCTTTTGCTTTAAAAGTTTGATCAGTTGCTCATTTTTCTTGGATAATGGCATTTCACTACCTTTTGTCTCTCACGTTCTGTAGTTAAAGTCTTGAAATTTTAATATATTTTGCACCTGCAGCCTACTGTGGGAGACACTTACTGGAAGGGAGCATCTATACTTTTACGGTAGACTTAAGAATCTTAAAGGTTCTGTATTGACACGGGTACTTCGCTTGTTCTCTTGGAAAAAAAAAAAATATGGCATGTCATTGAATGCATACCGTAAGTAGTTAATAATGTTTCATGTTGCCTTCTTTACAGCAAATAACACTTTCCCACTCCATTCTATTGTTTAGACAGTTGAAGAGGCTCTCAAAGATGTTAACTTATTCCATGGTGGTATTGCTGACAAACGTTCTGGCAAATATAGTGGAGGCATGAAGAGAAGGCTCAGTGTTGCAATTTCACTAATCGGCGATCCTAAGGTTTCCTATAAGAATTTTGCATTCCTGGCCTCTTTTGTTTATATTGCCGATTGTTCAATTTTATCATGATTTACCTTGTCTAAGATAAATTTTCCTCCCAATAATGGATTTCTGTCCGTACAATTTTTTAATGTTCACCTATCCTATCCATTGTAATATGCTTGTGTATTGGTCCAAAGGTTTTATCCTAATACCACTATTTTGGATCTTTGGAAGATTGTTTACCTGGATGAACCAAGTACTGGATTAGACCCAGCTTCCAGAAATAGTCTATGGAATGTGGTGAAGCATGCAAAGAAAAATCGAACAATTCTTCTCACAAGTGAGTAATCTAGTTCTACTTTACAGCCATTAATTTCTTAGGACTTAGTTTTATTATTATTATACATATACATAAAAAAAATTATCTATCTACTCTAAAGATAATCACTAGTCTCAGAAGCAGTTAGAACCACTGATTTCTTAGGACAGTACTTAAGGGGGAAATATACTAGTGTATCAGCCTGATTGACGTAATATGCACATCAGGTGGCATTTTCGGTAAATGTATCAAAGTGCTTGTGGTATTTTTATAACTTTACACGGATGGTGGTCACACGGACGTTTGCACTGAAATTTGTTGACTAACGGCCAAGTTAGTCAAACCAGTAACGATATTCTCTGCCGTTTCTTCACTTCACTTTACCAAACTGATTGCCTGGGTCTGGCTCGTACTTAAGTCTGTTAAGCAATTAGAAGCTTCAAGAAATACTATAGCTACTAGTTTCTATACATTGTGGAATATGATAATAATCTTGACATAATAGTAGACCAGGGCACATCATCTTTGTATTGAGTTACTCAAAACTATTAGGAAATGGACAGTGATAATAGAAGCTATGTACGTCACATTGCTGACATTACGCAATTTTTTTCATTGGCTGCATCTGTTGAACTCTCTTTTTTGAGCGATCAATTTAATAAATGAAGAATAAAAAAAATAAATCAATGCTTACAAAAGCGATATGATAACAAAAGCGATCAATTTCTTTTTTGAGCTCGACTGTTAATTTAATAAATGAAGAATAAAAAAAATAAATCAATGCTGCCCTTTCTTCTTGGAAAGGTATATCTCAAAGTAAACTAGTCAACTTAAGATGTGGCTAATTCTGACAGTTTTTGTAATATATGTCAGCTCATTCAATGGAAGAGGCTGAGGCTCTTTGTGATAGACTAGGAGTCTTCGTTGATGGTGCTTTGCGCTGTGTAGGAAATCCAAAAGAGGCAAGTTTCATAGTATTAATTAGTGTTTCATTGCAACTTAATTTTATTATTTCAATATGTTTTAGTTTGAGTTGGATTTCATTTCAGTACAGTTGAATTTTCTTAAGTTTAGCAAGTTGAATTTAGTTCAATATATATATATATATATATATATATATTTTTTTTTTCCTTTTTCCCAACTATTCCTGTTCTAATCGTGTCATTACAAAATTATAAAATTGTTGGTTTCTTTGCTTGTATTGATGGTGTATGACAGCTGAAGGCTAGATATGGAGGTTACTTCATCTTTACAATGACTACAGTGCAAGGGAATGATACAGAGGTGGAGGACATGGTACTAAAACTTTGCAACAATGCTAATAAAACCTACTATTTGGGCGGTACTCAAAAATTTGAGCTGCCCAAGCATGAAGTCCGCCTAGCTGATATATTCCAGCTTGTTGAGGATGCCAAAAGTAGGTTTTCTGTTCAGGCTTGGACTCTGGCTGACACCACCCTTGAGGATGTCTTCATCAAGGTCACTCGTCAGGCTCAAGCTGTTTCGTCTGATGAGTAATTCTTCTTACCATCTACATGTTTAAGCTCTAATTTGACTTCTTTCTTTACATCTTCAAATAGAGAAGTATTAGGTATCAATGTTACCAGCTGGTAGTGTAACATGCTCAGCTATTTTTCCCTGTTAGGTGTAGTATTTTTTGTAATGGTGGTGTTGTATATAGCCTAAGTTGTAGTAAAAACAGTTCATTGGATGTGACGACAGTTTTGAGCTGCTCCACATTTATAGTAACATAAAACCAAGGTTTTTATGTATTGATCTAATGAAGCGATTTTAATCAACAGTGAATGACAGTGTAGGCGTTATTGACTAGTCTGCGACAAAATGTTTTCATACTAGTTCTGGTGCAAAATGACAATAATTTGCTCTAAGAATGACAAGTCCTTGTGATGATTAATTGACTATAGTCTTACAGAAAATCTGTCAATTTACACGGTTACTAAGGATCATAATTTGCCTATGAATCAAAGCAATTTTCTGACAGTTGACTAGGATCAATCACCCTTCCCACAACTCCCTTTGGCTGCCCCAAGGACCTTGGGTGAACCACAGGGAGGGTCGGCTGTACATTTGAAGGAACTGGCCTCTCAGCTGAATGTCCTGAAATGCAGAGTGCGCCTGAATCATTCTGTTCCCAATGTACTTCGACCATAATGCCTTGAGGATTGTCTGCAGTCTCTGATCCAGGAACCGCCACGTACTTAGCTCCCACAGGTATCTGCATTTCTATGAAACTTTTTAGTGCCTAAAAATATAATTTCTAAAATGAATAATAATCTTCAATTGGATCATTGATAAAAGTTTTCAGATTTGGAAGAACCGTCTTGATTGTAATTGTACTTGCCTGAACAAGTGCCCCAGATGATAGAGTAAGAGTCTCCATTCGTCCCTCAGCTGCAGCAGTTTCCAACTCTGCCTGCCTTGCAATATTCAGAAAAACTTCTTCCAAAGTCGTCAAACCAAGTTGAATGTCTGATACACCAAATTCTTGCTGTCTATCTTGGAGCTCTCCAAGGGTTCCCTAAAAAAAAAGCCCTTGAAAATTGCTTGCTATTGGAGGGCAAGTTATGGAGTTTGTAACGATGTATCTTAACTCATTGAATCAAGGGTGCTTACCACCAAAAGGGGCTCTTTCTCACGGGGGATTACAAATGTAAGAAATGCATTGCTCTCCTCCTTCGGAATGACTGCCAAATGCTGTAAAAACCGTGCATGAAACAAGTTACTTCTGCAAAGAGAGAAAAACAAGCCCTTTAAAAAATAATATGTAGTACTGTAACTTACATGTCTAAAGAAACTCTTCACTGTCTCCTTGTGAGCTGAATTTGTTGCTGAGTTTCCATTTACAAAGCTCAAGTTAGCAACAAAACCAGTGCCAAATCGCGACTTTAATCTAATTGAAGTTCCAATACAGCGGAGTCTCCCCTTGGCCATGATACCTATGCGATCCCCTAATATATCAGCTTCTTCCATTGAATGTGTTGTTAGAATGACAACCTTTCCCCTCTTTGCATTTTCTATTATGTCCCATACATGCCTCCTGCTTATTGGATCCATACCTGTAGTCTGCAATTCGAACAAAATATCAGTTGTAAATGCTTCAAAACTTTCTTGGAAGTCTGACAATGAAATTAGCTGACTAACATTACTACTATATTTTACCGGTTCATCCAAAATCACTAATTTTGGGTCGCCAAGGAGAGCAGATGCAACACTAAGGCGTCGCCTCATTCCTCCACTGTAACTTCCAGCTCTCACTTTGGCTGAATTTGTTAGTCTCACTTCCTCCAGAGATTTCTTTACAGCCTTATTTTACACACAAAAATATATAAGCTCTTCACACAATGTAACAAATCAGGCATGTAGGAAAGTTCTGCATCAAAGTCTACGAAAAACCTCTTTAGTTGATGCAGGCGGTAGGCCTTTTATTCTAGCAAACAGCTGCAGATGCTCTTCACCAGTCAGTTCATTCCAAAGAACGTCAAACTAAGAGAAATAGCAGAAAAGTATTAGAGTCGAATCTCATTTTATACTTTACAAGTTTACAGCATTGTGATAGGGCCATAAAAAAGTATTACCTGAGGACATAGACCTATAATTTTTCGAATATTTGACATTCCAGCTGAATTTCTGATGGAATTTCCATATATCAAAGCTGTGAATTCGATAAGTCATAGTAGAGATCGTCGATCAAAAATCCTTCTTAAACAAGAAAGTCTAAACAAAGTAAAAATTAATCAGACAGGTTATACCATCTCCTGCAGTCACTGAGGTTATGCCAGTCAAACAATTGATTGTAGTAGTCTTTCCTGCTCCATTTGGTCCCAAGAGACAAAAGAGTTGATCTGTAGGCAAATTTACATATAAACCCTGATAAAAAAACAAGCTGAAAGTAGTCAGAAAATTTAAGTGAAAAGAAATACATTCTGCAAATTAAAGTTTTCTCTTCAATCCCTTTATGTATGCCAAAACTCAATGATTACATTTTGTTCATTTAATTGTCATCATATAACTAAGGGTAGAAATCGGCTAATAGTTTCTTTGGAGTTGAATGTCTTGGAGTATGATACCTTGATGGCATGGAAAGGATCAGTCTTTTGACACTTACAGCAGCAACCAATGCTAAACTTTCCAGGATATATCTTCACTAGACCACGAATCTGAACAGCAATGTTAGAATCAATTTCATTTGATTTCATTTGCTGCTTCACAACAATTTCCTCCTCAAGCACATCCGTGTCATCTGGAGTAATATCGACATATGCAGAATCAGAATTGCTGCAGCCACATAAACCACCTGATCAAAGACACAATCATGGGAAAAAGGTCAGAAGTTCTTTTTACCAACTATACTATGAGATATACATATCAAAAGGAAACTCAAGTTTTTGTACCTTGAGGCTTATTTTCCCCTTTCCCTATCCAGTACCTCAGGTTCAGAAAGTATAATAATGATTTCCTCGTACCATTGGGACTAGGCATTACATTATCCAAGTACAACGCCAAAATAAACCAGAACACAAAAGTATATAGGAGCCGTATGTAGATATCATTCTGCATAAGGATACAAATGATAAAAGGAAAAGATTCAGAGAGCATTTAGTCTATACCTGCATAAAGCTGAACAAAAGCACAAAGATCCGGCCTATTTCTTACAAAATACATGTTTTTATAATCTTTGGAACAATATTGCCTTTAACTTACTTATGCATCATATGTACTCCTTTATTGGTGTATAGAAAAGACACCAATCTAGTCATGTAGTAAAAACATGTAATTATATTGAAAGTTAGAAACTATACTTTCCAGCAAATAAAACATACCATTGTAAAGTAACAATCAGATTGACCAGCGGGGCACTTCACTCGTTTACTCCAGCTGATCACAGGGATATTATGTGATTCAACTGCATCGTTGAGCATTTCGAGGGCATGGGATAGCAGAGCTGGTGGCAGAAAATATAATTTGCGAGATTTCTTAGAGGGCTCAGCTGCAAGAGCTGCAAACTGCAACATCAAATTTGTGCATTAAAACACATAGGGTGATCAGAAGTACTACAAATTTCTGGTCTATAACTTAGAACACTGAAGTACCTGTGAAATGATTCCAATCAGAAAAATCCAGAACCCGGCTCTATATGCAGAAGAAGTCTTGCCAAGAAAAGCAGATAGCAGGAAGGCAAAACCGGTCTAGTATAAAAACATATCCAAACCAAATGAGAGAAAATTCAGAGAAAGAAACAACAAAGGATGAATTGAAAGTTGGTGTATAAGAGATACGAAATGTACCATATTCAACTGAAAAAGGAAGAACAGAAAAAACAGTACTGCAAAACTATTATGCAAGAAGAATTGAAACTGTAATATCATTCCAGAGAGTATAATACAGAGCGATGAAATTAGTATGACAAAGGTCTCCCAAACAAGCCACGAGAGCCAATAAGCAGAATCGTAGAGTCCCATTATATTCATGGCCTGAGAAACCAGAATATCAGTAAGAGAAGAATCAATGCATTATCAGATTATCAGAAGCTAAAAAACTCGAGTTTCAGACTTTTACAATCGAGTTATTTCCATCCTCAGCAAGATTAGAGTGTTACCTGACGCAGTTTCAGTTCCTTCTCCAGGACAATAGAGCTCATTTGAAACACGAAAGGAAACATGGAAACCGTGAAGAAGAACAACGGAGCAATTAGTCCATAGGCAGTAAAGGATCTATCTTCAAGAGTTTCTGCAGGATGTGGAAATTCCTTCAATCCGACAGTCCAGCTAAAACTTTGATCTAAAGCAAAGATGTTCAGAATGTAAGACACATTTCAGATATCATAAAATGTCAGACTGTCAATGTTACAGAACTGCAGATGATCACCTGCTAAAACTGATCTAGCGAGTTCACGTTCAACAGCAATTTGAAGTGGTATTTGAAACTTCATTACAGGAGTTTCAATGTTGCCACTTTTTTCTGTTGTTGTATAGTTAGTTTGGATTCCATAGCCCATAACAGTAGCACTTTTCTCAACTAAATGCAGGGCTGCAGGACAGCGTGAGGGATCGCGAAAAAGCCAGGCATCAACATCAGCTGGTGTTCTAAATGATATAACCTGGATGTTCATACATATACACAATGAACATTTTAAGAAAAAGTCTAATGTAATTTCATAGTCACCTTCAACATTCAGCTACATAAGTCCTCCCTTTATAATTTTTCATCTTTCCTGTGGTACGAAAATAATATCTATTTCTAGGCATGACTATTTTCATCCGAATTGAAATTATTTTAACTGATTTAAAGACGAGCACCATGTGACAAACATAATGTACTGAACTACTTTTTTTTTTTTTGAGGGGAAATGTACTGAACTACTTGTTTAAGCTGTTGACTACATAAAAGGTTAAAAAAAATAAATTAAAAAATACACTAATTAATCAAAGCAAGCTCCTTTCTTTACCTTTCATTCCATTAATCTATTCCTTTCTTTTCCTATATAATCCTTTAAAAATCAAAGCAAGCTCCAAATTTCAAGAATTAAGGTACAAAAAACCAAACAATAATTTCAACTCAAATTCCCCAAAAACTTGTTAATTAAAGCACCCTTTCAATCTATATTACATTTCTTTTTTTTTTTTCATGCACATAACTTCAACCATACCATCTCAATTAAAATGAAAAAAATTATAAAAATTGAAATTTATACGAGTAAAATACAAATGTAAGCAAATCGAAAAAGATTCCACATATACATAAACGAAAATATATAAATAGTGAAAAAATCAAAGTGTTTCATCTAAAAATTATCTTGGTAAAAACAAAAGAAAAAGACGGTAAAAAAGTAAGTGTATTATAATTAAACCTACCTTGTGGGAGGGAATAGGACGTCCAGGATTACTAGCCATGATACGAGACACAATATCTTGTGCCTTGTCACTAGAATCGCCACTCCACACGAAGTCATAACACGGCCGTCGAATGTGGAACTTGGTTTCACACGGCGGAATAGACGGCGAGACAACCGCCTTCGGGTCCCTAACCTCCGGCTCAGAAGGTGAATAACGGCTAACCTTGTCGACGGCGAAAAGAAACAAAAGGAAGATGAATGGTGCAACAAGTTGTAAGAATGAGGAGCGCTTGCTCCTCATTGCTAACCATAAGTTCTTCTTTACAAGTGCATTTACTTGTTGGATCATCAATGGGAACCCTCTTTTTAGTGTCCCCATTTTTTGTGTGAAAAGGGACTTTATGTTGGGATGTTAAGTTTTTTGGGTTTTATCTTTTATTATAGTCTAATAAGTTATGAGTACTTGTTTCAAAAAAAAAAAAAAAAAAAAATAGTAGTTATGACTACTTGTTACTTCCGTCCACATGTAATCTTCTTATTTGAAAATATTGACTGTAAATTTGAATGTGTCAAAGTCAATATTTGATAAGATGAAGAATTAGTGATTTAATGTGTGCATCGTAAATAAGGAAATATCTGATGAGTAAATGATGGGTTACTAATACAATGAACTAAAATCACAAGCAAAACGCGTGAGGGTTGTAATTTGTATAGGTGATTTTGGAAAGCATTCCTGATTTGGTAATTTTAAAAACGGAAATTTCACTAAATGCCACTGAGCAATTTAAAAATTCACCTAATGCTATCGGACTTTTCAGAATTCACCAAATGCCACCCATTTTTTAAAAAATTCACCCAGTGCCATTAATGACCAACGGCCGTTAACTCCGTTAGTAATTAGGGGTTAATCATGACACGTGTCATGACATAATTGGACCATTTATCTTAATTCATAAAAATTTTAAAAAAAACAAAAAATTTAAAAAAAAAAAACCCCAAAATTTTCCCAGCCACCCCGACTACCGCCAAACCGTAACCCCTCCCCTCATCTCGCCGGAAAACGGCCGGTCACCACCGGAACCACCAACAATCGGCCGCCCGACCATGTAGCTCCCCACCTGACCCACCGCCGACCCCCAAAACCACCCACGCTGCTCGTCCCGACCCCAAAAACCCTGCTCCCTCACTGCCACCACAGCAACTCCACCTCCAAGCACCACACTTCCCCCTTTGCTACACCTACACGCACCACCACATCAGCCACGATTAGCACCACCCAGCTCCCTTCGCTGCTCCCACGCGCACCAATTGGTCCAAATCCTCAACCCCGATGCACCGCCACTTCACCGCCACCACTACAAAACCCATTTGGGTTTCGGGTTCAACCCAGAAATCCCATTTTCATTCTAGGGTTTTGGGTTTTCTGGGTTAATTCGATTTTTGGTGGTTTAAGGTGAGGGAATGGGGTTTATAGGAGTCGGAAAATAGGGGAGGGGGTGGTTTCGAGGTTGCGGTGGTCGGGAAGGGGTTGAATCAGAACCGTTGCTCGTGAAGGTGGAGGTTGGTTGTGGTTTTCGCGGGTTAAGGTTAGATTGGATGGGTGGCGCATCAGGTAGGGGAGGTCAGAGTAACAATGGGTGGGGGTCGGCGACAGCGGGTGATCCCGACTCCGGCAAGTCGGTTTCTAGGCTGGGGAGAGGTGAGTTGCGTGAAGGGAGGGGGAGAGGGATAGGGAATGGTGGTGAAGGTGGTTCCGTTGGTGATTGGCTGTTTTCCGGCGAGATGAGGGGAGGGGCTAGGGTTTGGCGATGGTGGAGGTGGCTGGGAAAATTTTAGGTTTTTTTTTAAAAAATTTTTTTTTTTTTATTTTTTTAACTTTTTTTGTTTTTTAAATTTTTATGAATTAAGATAAATGGTCCAATTATATCATGACACGTGTCATGATTAACCCCTAATTACTAACGAAGTTAACGACCGTTGGTCATTAATGGCACTGGGTGAATTTTTTAAAAACTGGGTGGCATTTGATGAATTCTGAAAAGTCTGATGGCACTTGGTGAATTTTTAAATTGCTCAGTGGCATTTGGTGAAATAGCCGTTTTAAAAACTGAACCTGTTCATTTCTAAGAGTACTCACTCACTAGTCACTACTCACTACTCAGTCTATTGCCAGCAATCGATTGCTACATATAACTGATTTTAGCTTTACTTGTTTTTATCGATTTACTAGAAGTTACTTTTTTTTTTTTGGTGTTCCATCCGGTTCACCCTTTGGCCTTATCCGGATTCGGGGATCAGTTCTGGGTGGTTAGGTTCCAGTCTCCTCCCGATTGTTGTTGCGGGGGATCGAACACGGGTCCTCCTCACCAAGTGTAGTCCCAATCACCACTACACCAACAACCAATTGGTTACTAGAAGTTACTTCTATTTACTAATAGTGGACTTTTTTCCAATTTACAGCTTAAATCGCTGTTAAATTTACCACAATTTAAGGTATTTATCATTTTGCCACTTTTTAAGGAAAATTTGAAAAACTATTACACTAAGGGCCTGTTCTCTTCCGTTGAAATTCAGTTCAGTTCAGTTCAGTTCAGCTCTTAATTTACGTCTAATGATATTGCTAATGATATAAAGCCAAATTTCATTCTTTTAAGCTCTTATTACAACGACGACGACAACAACAACAACAACAACAACAACAACAACAACAACAACAACAACAACAACAACAACAACAATATAATAATAATAATAATAATAATAATAATAATAATAATAATATTATTATTATTATTATTATTATTAACAATAATAATAATAATAATAATAATCAATAAGTAATAAATAATAATAATAATAATAATCAACAATAAATAATAATAATAACAATAATAATTGAAATAATAATACTAATAATAATAATCAATAAATAATAATAATAATAACAATAATAATAATAATAATACTAATAATAATAATCAATAAATAATAATAATAATAATCATCAATAATTAATAATAATAATAATAATAATATTAATAATAATATGTACATTTGTATATACACATATGTATAGTAATAAATAATCAATAAATAATCAAAGATCACTAATCCGTAGTTAAAAAAGTTCAGTTCAGTTCAGTTCAGTTCAGTTCAATTCAGTCAATCGGAACATGCCCTAAGAAAGTATTGATATTAGATCTTTGTTGATAATCTTAACTCTTAAGATATTTGGATTTTTATTTATTTTTCATATGGAGGCATATACTTGTACAGTTGTACTTTGTATATTCTAACTGATTGGAGCTACAAGTACTTTACATGTGAATGGTCAATAAGTATCAAATTTGGGCTTGGTAATGGTACATGTCAATTGACAATTGTCATGGCCGCATGCACATGAAATGAGTATAGTCTGTGTACTAGCTTTAATTTGTATTTATGTTACAACAGATTCAATGTGACTTGCATGTAAGTATGTAATAAACATGTTTGGTTCTATTAACGTATTGAGGTACATATCAAACAGGTCATGTGTCATCACTGTCATGTCTCAAAGTTTAAACATTTCGTGACAATTTAAGTACTAGTACGTAAAAATTCTTTTAAAAATTATATAAGTTGATACTCAAAATTGCACAAAGATTTTGTTTTTGCATGTCACAAATATTTGAGAAATTGCTTAGATTTTAAAGGAATTAGGAATTATGCATACAGTATACTACATTCATCCTATATTAATTCAATAACTTTTAAATTGGGAAATAGTGATGATTTTTCTTCATGCAATGTAAAAGGAAATATTAGAGTCATGCTAGCTAGTCACATATTAATTACCATTAAAATTTTGAAAAAATAAATAATTTTTAACCGAAACAACATGAGCCATTTGGATAGTCATAATTATTTAACAATCGTATATGCGTATACTACGCGAGGTTGTTTAAACTAGCGACTAAAAGAGACTTGAAAGAGAAGTGAGAAAGTGATCAAGTAGTAGAAAAGGGCATGCGTTACAAGGGGCTACAAAATCGTACGTAATACAATGTTGAGACTTTTATCACTAGAAAAAGACTACTGAAAACCTTAATCAAACCCCTGAAATTCTCCTGCTTTTTTCTGCAAAAATTCTCCTTCTTTCTGTCATTTTTCTACTTTGGAATTTTTATTTGAAGATAAAAATGGCAAATGCATCCCCTTCAAAAGCGAGTTATTGGGTTCAATCCAATGCCCTGCTAAGGAAGAACTTGACTTATCAGGTCCACCCTTCTTCTCCATTACAAAATAGTGTTCTGATTTTTTTTATTTTTTTTTTAATTTGATTGATTTTAAGCAATTTGATTACAAGTGTATGAATTATGTGATTGATATATATATGATTAAGTGAAAAGGAAATTTTGAATTTTGCAATTGAATTCCCATGTTTTTTTTTTCCATTGTAAAAATGAATTCTTGATTAAAATAGGAACTTGGGTTAATGAGCAGAATATGACAACATTGCATAAAATTGGCAATTGGGTTTTCACTTGGTGTATAAAAATATCCTTTAATTGTATAGATATATCAGGTTGGCCTTGGGCCATGAATGATTTTGTATTATATGGGAATTATTGAATAAAAATCTTTATTTGTTTAATGTATATAGTGATTAATTTAATTGGATTACATTGTAGAATTACAGTAGAATGCAATTCTAAGTTTTTGAATGATAATGTGATTGCAGAAAAGGAACAAATGTCAGAATTGCTGTCTGTTTGTTTTCCCAGTGCTGATATTAGTATTACTAGTGGTGGTACAATACGAAATAGAGAAAGAATCACTAACGGAAAAACCGAATCCACCGGTTCCTAATCCACCGGATAGGTTACCGGTGTTACAAATTCCGTCGCAGTATTCTATGGCCGTGAGGTCCAAATTGCTTCCGTTCCAAGACTTACCTGAGCCTTCCTGCAGGAATGACTCTTCCTGTCCTGCTACTTTTCTTTACACTGCTTCCAATCAGTCTTTTGCCAAGGGTACTACATCCCGAGTTAAATAACTTATTCTTTCTTTAAAGGGAAATAATATCGCGTTATACACTTATACTCGTGCTCTTAGGCACAATTCACGTACTATTGTTCACATTCAACTACTAACTTTTAAATTATGCAAAGGGTAAGCTAAAAATGTGGGGGCTATTTTTTCGTCGAATTGTATGTTCAATGTTTAATGTACAGGCCGGGTATCACGTCTGGTTTAATTTATGACAACAATTGATTAAGCAGGATGTTGAAATGATGTTATGCTTAAAAATGTCTATGTTAAAATGATGTTGTGTTCATTGTGATATCTTGTATTATGCTTGTTAGGTGTGGTTGGTGACATGTTTCCAACTGCCACCTCTGTGAATTCGTCTGACCTCCTTGAACCCCTAGTCTTGGTGAGCCTATCTTCATTGAAAAAATGTTTTCGAGTTATTGGCAAGGTCGTTTATTTTTATTTGTAGTTTTAATGTTGCAATCGTTGTTTGGTTGAATTGGTACAGGGAACTGATACCTTTTCTGACGAGGATGATCTTTCTTATGAGTACTCAAAACTCTATTACATACAACACAAATGCAATAAGAGTTCATCGATTTCTTTGCCCTTGAAAGAAAAAAACATTGGTATGATTTTGCTGCATATGAAAACGTTTTGTTTCTTTACTCCTCTAGCAAAGCATGGTTCAAGTACTATTCTCATTGATTAAACCATGTTCAGAATGAGGCTCGTTCATCCTTGATTTCACTGTTAGTTTTTGTACTTGAATTCCTGTTTTACAATGA